TTCCAGAATAAATCGGAGAAGTGTTGGAAGTGTCATCAGACTCCAGGATCCTATTACCACATGTGGTGGACATGCGGAGATGCAAAGAGGTATTGGAGTAAGATACACACGTGGTTGGAAAAAATGACTAAGAGACATATTGATTTTAAATCAGATATTAGGGATCTTACCAGAGACATATAATAAAGAATTGCAATATTTAATTGTGAACCTTTTAACAGCAGCTAGAATTTATTTATTTATTTATTTGTTTGTTTGTTTGTTTGTTTGTTTGTTTGTTTAATTTGTATACCGCCCTTCTCCCAGAGGGGAGAATTGTATTTGCAAAAAATTGGAAAGGAGAAAGGACACTTACTGATGAAGAAATTATTAAGAAAATGATGGACTGTGCTGAAATGAGTAAATTGACATTTGAAATAAGAGAGCAGGACGATTATTTGATATGGGATTTATTTTATCAATAGATGGACAATAAGACATGGAGATAAATATATGTGGATGTTGAGATAAATTAAGTGGAATATTTCTTATGAAAATAAGCTTTGGATGTATAGTGATATTTTGAAGAGAAGAGGGAGCACAAAAGGATGTTAAGACCGATACACTGTCTGTAATTATTTGGGAATGATGATGTTTTTATGTTTTATTTTTGTTTTAAAATAAAATCTTTGTGGGGAAAAAAATCTAGGAGCCCCCAAATTGCCAAACAGCTCTGTCCAGGGAAGTGTGATCACATTCCCAACTAAAGGTGGGCACTCCATGGGACTTGAAACCAACTCAGGGATGCTTGAACTCAGATGCCTGCAGGAACGGCAGTGGGACTCAAGGGCCCGTTCCTGGTTTAAGGCTATTTCCATCTGGAATTCCCAGAACCAAATTGTAACAAATGCTAGGTGAAGTTCAGCTTCAAATGATCACTGTCGATGCAGGCGGCGCTTAATGTAACCATTGACATTCACCATACATGACGGTTTCTGGACTGTGCAGGTCCCTTCCTGCCTGGCAAAGGTTATTTCTGTTAAAAAGAACAGGTCAGTAAGACCAGAGCCACATTTTTCCCAAACTGGGAGTGTTTACAGGCTACGAGTGTAGGAGAACCACCCTCTCTTGAGGCAGTCACTTCCAACGCTGAAAATCTCTTTTACCATTAGGAAGTTTTTCCTAAATGCCAATTAAAATCTACAGCCTTCAAGTTGAAGCCTGGGATTTCTTGTCCATCTTCCAGAAGAACAGTCCGCCTGACCCTTGAAGACCATCATGTTTTTTCACAGTCTTTCCGGGCTAAATACACCCAGCGCCTCACACTGTTCCTAGCAGGATTTCCCCCTTATCGAAATGAATGCTCACCTCCAGACATCCCCCATTTATTGGTGTCCTTTCGAAAATCCAATGCCTGGAACTGGACACACATATTCTAAATGCCTTCTGACCAGCAGAGACTCAGGCTGACTCAATCCTCTACATCTGTCAGTGCAGTCTAGCTTGCCACTATTTATTCCAGCTTTTCTGGAACTGTTGGCTCATGTGACTCATCAAGACACCCAGATCCTTTTATGTACTTTTATGGTTTAGCTTTTGCTTTTTCCTATCCAGACGTAGGCTTTTTGCATTTGTCCTGTTGAAATTCATCGTGCTGGTCTTAGCTGAATATTCCAGCTTGTTGAGATCCGCCTGGGTCTTGGTACCCTTTTTAAGGTGCTTGCTCCATATTTTATCCCAGATTCAATAATTGTACTTTCCAGTACTTCATCCAAGAGATTTATAAATAGGTTGAACTGAATTAGGTCTAAAATGAGGTTGGGGCCCTTGGTGTACACTTGTTGCGTCCGTGGCTCAGTCAGTTCTGTAGCCACCTACTGCCTGATGAATTTAGGGTAATCCGGCCCATATTTTCTGCCTGAAGCCCATGAGAAACCTCACTGAATGCTTGGATTACATCAAGATGTGCCAACTTGTTATGAACTCAACTGGTCAGTAAAAAAAGCAATCAGGTTCCTTTGGCACAATTTATTCTTGATAGACTCTTGTTGGCTCCCGCCCAGCCACACAGACTTTCAGAATGTTCGGGAAGTGATTGCTGCTTGCTCCAGAATTTTCCATGGTATCATCAAGCTGACCAGTATGTAGTGACTGAGGGCCTCTCTTCTCCCCCTTTCTGAAGCCAGGGAGCAGCCTTAGCTTTTGTCCAGGCTTCTGCTGCTATGCCTGTCCTCCATGATTTCTGACAGATCCCAGAAGGAGCTCTGAGCTGATGATCTTCAAGACTCTCAGATGCGGCTGATCTGGCCCTGCAGGCTTCATGATTGGCCGGTGCTCCATAATTATGCCTTTCGTTAGCCCAAGTTCAGTCATCTGCTCTTTTTAGGTCCATCTGGATGCAGTTCATCTTTTGGGAGAAGACCAAAAGATGGGTGTTGAGGAGCATTGCCTGCTCCCTGTCCCATCACCTCTTCTTGTCTTGGCAGCCTTTTCCCATGGGCCCATCCCTCCCTTTTTCCAGTTAGAGTTGCACAGCCATATTAATGAGATTACTCTGGTCCCAGAGACAGGAGTGAACATCTGGTCTGTTGATAGAAAATCGCTGCTCTCAACTGCCTCTGGAAAGAGCCTAGTTGTCAGGTTTCGATGTCAGCGTCCCAGCACTGACACTAGTATTGAGGTTGTGGTCCCAGAGAGTGATGTGGAATATGGAAAACATGCCAAGTATTTTTTACATTCTAGTCTTAGGAAGATCAGCCTCTCGAGACCCCTCTGGATCACCTGCCTGAAGAGAGTGGCCAGAGCATGCCACACAGCCTTTGTTTAGTGCTGATGGGAAAGAAACCTTTGGGCAAGCCTGTGCCTGGCCTTTGTGAGTTGGGCTTTCCCCCATCCAGACAGCTGCCAAGAATGGCCACGCAGGAGCTCCAGCCCCTGGCAAGCATGGGAGGAGCAGCCCTGACATAGGAGCTCTGCAAAGAGAAAAGGGCCCTCTTGGAAACAGCCATTCTGACAATCCCAGAGGGAAGGGTCAGAGGAGAGGAGAGTGGAATGGCAGAAAACAGAGCTGTCAAGATTGTTGGGAATTATGCTTTTCGCTGAGCTGTAACTTGAGGGCGTCAGTTGTAGAGCTGAAGAAAGAACTGAGAGAATGGCAGTTTTGGCAAGTTGCAGAGGCCCACAGTTAGGGTTAAAGCAGAAGGGCGTTCACGAGCAGATCCTCAAGAGGTTAAGACTGATAGTTTTGAATAAAGAAGTGTAAGTTATGCAATCTGCCTTTTTCCCCTGGAAGAGTGGGAGTATGTGCAAACGGTGTTTTGTTTTTTTCCAGTGGGAATAGATGAATCCATGCTAGATCCGCTAATCCTGAGAAGTATAACCCTTTTTGAAAAAGAATTGGCATGGGATGTCCTGCCTAGAGTTCTCTCGGAAGCAGATGTTCTGGTGGCATGACATACAGCTGTGTCTCAAAAAGATGTCTTCCTGTAGGCCGGGTAGAGGATAAAGCCACAGGGCCTGGCCGGGAGGTCGTTGTCTTGGTCAGGTGGCAGCACTGCCCCTGGGCAAAGTGGCAGGCGAAGCAGACGAGGGGCAGCAGTCTGAGGGCAGGTAGCCTGGCCTGCTTAGAAGCCACTGGGCTGAAAGCAGTAGATGGGCCCCTCCGAAAGGGGGCATCTCGAGCAGATCCTCTCTTCCAAGGTGGGGGAAAAGCAGGGGTCACTCATTCAGTCACAGTACATGGCCTTGGATCGCTCTGGGAAGATCACAGCACTTCCCTGGCAAGGAGATGTCCACCAGAAAGGTCAGGTCAGGTGAGGGTCCTTGTTCTTGGGGAGGCTCCAATGCTTGCAGCTGGAGAGAGACTCGGGAGGTAGGTGGGGACTCAGAAGGGGTTACGGGGGCTGAAATCTTGAAGAAAGGGCCATCCAAGGAGGGTTTGGAGCTTCTCTTTAGTTGGTCTCTTTAGGGTCCCAAACAATCTTCTTGCCCAGTTTGTCTCCCACACATCTGGGCTAATTCAGGAGAGATTCTGAAGAGGCCTGGGGGGAAGGGGAGGGCTTCTCTCTCTGTAGAGAGAGGCAAGGGACTTGCAGATGCCTCCCCCCCCTCTTCCCCGTATCTTGAAGTTTCAGAAGAGTTCCCATGTCCAACTCAGTCCCCACCCCTCTGGGTCTGGGTCTGGCAGTTGTTCTGTGCTAGGTTTTTCCAGATGATGTCATGCGAAGCTGCATTGGAAGGAGGAGAGCGGGTGCTGTTCCTTCCCCCACCGCCCACAGGCCCACTTCCTCCCTGGGGAGGCCATCAGGAAGCCCCACCTCTCCTTGCTGTCTTTGAGTGCTTTCCACATTCAAATGTTTTTTTGGAGGGGGAAGCCATTTACTTTGCCCACCCTTGAAACTTCCATAAATCCCAGGTCTGTTCTGTTGCTGCTCCAGGTTCCTCCTTTTCCCCTCTGATCAAGGGTCCCCCATTTTTCTGGAATGAGCATTCCTAAGTCCTCTTGATGTCTGAGAAGGCAGCAAGCAGCGGGGGCTGGGGGGGGAGAGATGGAGAATTGGCTTAGAGTACAAGATAAACTCATTATGACCAGCCAGTGTATGTCCAGCTGGCACAGATGTTTGCCCTGTTCCCAAACAGTGCCTGCTGGGAGATTTGTAAAGGGGGGAGTGAATCTTTCTTCTGGGAACAGCTATTGGAGGAGGAAGAGTTTGCATGTCAGAAATCCAACACAAAGCAGCCCCGAGTGTCAACAGCTGGGGAAATGAAATGGGGAGGGGGGGTCTTTCCACTTAGAAACCAGTTTCAAATCTTGCATTTCCAGGCTGAAAAACAGTTGGCCTCCTGTTGTCAGTGACCCCCAGGCAGAAATGGGACGGAGGGACAGGGAGGGACAGGGGGGCTTCGCCCTTCAGACGGGAGGGGGAGTGGAGGGATATGTGGGGCGGGCAGGGCAGCCTCTCCGGAGGAGCCAGGCGCGCTCCAGTCAGACTGGGCAGGAAGCAGCTGCTGAGGGGGGCTGCCCTGGTGGTGGCGGAGTGGTTGTGTCAGTGTGGGGACGCAGCAATTGGGAGCTGTGTGAACCAGCACAAGGCAGGGTGAGAGCCCCACAAACACAGTGGAGGAGAGTGGGTGGCTTGCACAGGAGAGCACATCTCCTGATGCATCTGCTGCAGCTGTTTGCAGAGGGGAACAGCTGGAGGGACTTCAGCAGAGTTGGCTTGTCTGCTGGCACCTCGGCTCTGTGTGCAGGGGGGGAGGGCAGCCATTCTGCACTGGGGGGCCAAGGAAAGGACGCTCGCTCCTCCGGGCTTGTGGAGAGCAGCTAAGAGTTAACCCTGTTCCTGGCGGCCGTGCTCCCTTGTAAACATTGTTGTTGGATTGCAGCCCACCCACCCCAAGCTTGCTGCTTCCAATTAGCGGGTGGGTCTGTGTGCTCTCCATGGTGGGCGCATAGCCCTCCCTGCCTGCAGCCTGTCTGGAGCTGTGGCTCCCTGCTCAGCTTGGGGCCATGGGCTTCGTCCACCACCTCCTGCTGGCTGTGCTGCTGCTGGTTGGCTTCTCCCCCCTGCCTGGGGAGGTTCAGCAGGTCAAGGTCCTCTTCACCCCCACGATCTGCCACATGCACTGCAGCAACGGGCGCTGCATTAACCGATGTGAGCAGGGCAACGCTACCACTCTGTACAGCGGGGAGACCGCCAGGGCAGTGGAAGGGGCTTCTGGATTCCGAGTCTGTGAGTACCGAGGGGTCAGGGGAGCTGACGGTCCCATTCATTGGCTTATGGGTTGAGATGATGGGCCCCTAGTAAGAGACCTGCCCAGACTGGTCAATGGGGAGGGGGAGGGGAGGGGGGCAAGCAGACATCCCAGATCTTGGGCTGGGGGAAATGGAGTGCCCTGACTCCATTCAGTTTTCAAGCACCTCTTCCCTTTTGCTGCCTGGTGCAAATCAGGTGCCTCTGGGGGTGTCTTGCCTTACTTTCAACCTCAGCCACTGCTTGGCAGGTCCCTGGTTCTCTGTGCCTCTCCTGTTTCCCAGGCAAGGTTCTGCCCAGGGATCAGCAGCTAGCTGGTCCTCATCCCTTTGATAGGCCCACCCCAGTTTCTTCCTTCTGGGGCCCCTACCTCTTCCAGCTGCTGCTCTGACTGCAGGGCTGTCTCTGGATGGGAGTCCTCTGTGCCACTGACCCAGCCAGGCTCTTGGGCGTGACTTTGCCAGGCAGATGCAGGAGGTGGCTGAGGGCCTTGTTCCTGGGTAATAGGAGGAGGTAGGGCAGAGGCAGGTCATTCTCACAACCCGGAAGCAGGTAGCTGCCTGCAGGCTGGCCTGGCCTTCCTCTCCTCTCCTCTCCTCTCCTCTCCTCTCCTCTCCTCCCAGGTGGGTGCTGGAGGGTCTCCCAGAACTACATGGGTCATTGGGGGAGGGGAAATCTGGGGCAGAGGCACAGAACTGTCATCTGCTGGGCTACCTGTTTTCCCTCCCCTGATTTCTGGGAGTGGGTCATCTGCCTCTGTCCCAATTCTCCCATGAGCTCTTTCCCCCCACAGCTCAATCCCACACCAAAGTCCTACTGGAGCCTCTTTAGGGCTCGGTGCTGGGAAATGAAAGCATAAACAGGAGGCTGGCATCATGCCACCACCAGATGGGACAGCTGCCTTGGGCCAGATGCCAGTTTGCCTTGGCTCCAGTCCTGCCAAAGTTGCGGAGAAGGAGAAAGGGGGTGGCTGTGAGATCAAGAAAGGCCTCTGGGCCCCAAGTGTTTGTCTGGCCCATACTTGGCCCCAGCGAGCCTCTGTTCTCCCCAGAAAGGCAACAGCCTCTAGCTTGAGCTCATGTGTGGGGGCGTTGGAAGGGGGGGAGGGGGCTGTTTTCAGTCTCCTCGCTTCCAGTTGTTGTGCAGTTTGTTCCACTTGATGCTACCCAGGCCTGGTGTGGGTGGGAGCACAACAGGAAGGGGCTTGGTCGAGGGTCACACACTCCTCACTGCTTGCTACAGCAGCTGCTCCACACATGGGGGTGGGGTAGCCTTTGGCATCCCCCCCCCAGGTGGAGAAAATGCCTAGCTGAACTTGAGGAGAGGAAGCAGGTCCAAGTGTGGCCAAGGGATCTGGCCCATGCAGCTGCTCTGTTGCTCAAGAGACATCCCTTCCCGGCCCCTCAGCCTGCTGTTCCGGCTGGCCTGGAGCCCCTGCCCTCCCGCAGGGCTGCCCCTCCTCCAACCAGAATCCTTTCCCTGGAAGGATTCTGAGCTGGAAGGCTTGGATAGGCACCAGGGGCTCCCTTCTCTGCCCAGGTAGCCCCAGAGGAAAGGATCTGTAACCTGCTGCTGCTTCTTTCCCTGTAGATTGCCATGGGGCAGGCGGAAAAAGCCCGGAGGCCCTCAGCCCGTGCCTCAGCCTTGCCATCACGGCCAGGTCTCGGTGCTAAACTCCTGTTGGAGAGCCATGCACACGTCCCAAATCAAAGTGACAGGAACATTTCTGTACTGAGGACAGTTGCTCACCCATCTGTCAGTCTGGGGGACAAATGCCTTTCCAGACCAGACAGGCTTAGGAAGTTGCTGTTCAGGGCAAGGGCAGCCAAAAGATGGATTGGGAAAAGCCAAAATCTCCCCCTCCTCACATTATCTTTCTCCTCCTGGATAGAACAACAGAATAACAGATAGAATAACAGCATAAGAGAATTGGAAGGGACCTTGGGGGTCTTCTGATCCAACCCCCTGCTCAAGTAGGAAACCTTATTCCATTACAGACGAATGGCTGTCCAGTCTCTCCTTAAAAGCCTCCAGTGATGAGCGACCCACAACTTCTGAAGGCAAGCCGCTCCACTGGTTAATTGTTCTCACTGTGAGGAAGTTTCTCCTTAGTTCCAGGTTGCTTCTCTCCTTGATTAGTTTCCATCCATTGCTTCTTGTCCTGCCTTCAGGTGCTTTAGAGGATAGGTTGAGCCCCTTCCTCTTCTTTGTGGATTCTGCTTCCATCTTCCTCCCCTTCCTTCTCCTGTGCTCATTCACCTTGGGAAGAAAAGGTCCAGTCGAGGGTGTAACAGGGCCAGACAGGGAAGGTGCTTCATTGACCAGGGTGGGGGTGAAAAAAAAAGGCAGACTGCTGGGTGTTTTGTTGTTTGCATGTTCACTGAGAAGCCAGTGAGCTGAGCTTGGGTCAGCTGAGCTTCTGCCTCTGTTTCCACTCCTACCTTCTCTCTGTCCTGCAGTCCTGTGTCCCCTCATCTGCCAAAACGGGGGAGTCTGTCTCAAGAAGGACAAATGCCTCTGCCCCCCCAACTGGACCGGCAAGTTCTGCCACATCCCTGCCTTTCCTTACCTCAGTCAAGGACAAGGCCCTGCTCATCCTGGAACTGAGAGGGAGCCGGAGTATAGTCGGCAGCAGTCCGTGCACACCCTCCCAATCGCCAACCACCGCTACGAGCGAGATGGTAAGGAAGCCTGGAAAGGGGGGGGGGATAGGTGGGAATCAGATTGTGAAGGAACCACAAAGAGAGAAATGGCTGTGAAAGTTTGCTTGCATGCCAATGTTCCAGGCGAGGACACCAAGGCAGGGCCATCCCCTGCCCATGACTACATGGAGCAGGGCAGTTAAGAGCCAGACCCCTGGGTTGAAGGGATAGAAGGATCTATGAGAAGAAACAGGGTCCCCCACCTCTGTCTCTCCCCTTAGGACTGGCATGTCTGGGTCCCATCTACAAAGAGCCTTTTCCGCAGTGGCACTCACCCTGCAGAGCATCATTCCCAACCTACCCTGGACCTTAGGCTGTCCCCACCCATTCTGGCCTTTAGGGAGGCTCTGAAGACACCACTCTGCCATTGGGTCTGTAGGTCCAGCAAAGGTGGGACCATCTTACAAAGGCTGCCTTGAGCTGAGATAGGATGCATTCGGCTACTGATGCTGATTTCCCCAGTTTTTCAGTTATTTTTATTGGATTTTTTTTACCTGTTGTGAGCTGACTGGAGTCTTTGAGATAAGATGAGATGGGCAGCCATATAAATACAATGTCATAATAATCGTGTCATAGCAGCAACTCCCTGGGCAAAAGAGGAGCTCCTCAAGGCACCTGGCAGACTGGGGGTAGTAGGAGGAGGGAGGGGGGCAGCTTGCCCAGGGTCCAAGCCTTTCCTGGTGGCCAGGGCTGAGCCCCTTCTGAGCACCAAACTGCTGGCGGGGTTCGGGTTGAGGCCCCCACCTGCGTCTCCTCCCGCCAGGTATGGCGTCGCTGGTGAACGTCCACGTGGAGCACCCGCCGGAGGCCTCGGTCACCATCCATCAGGTGGAGCGAGTCAGCGAGGAGTTGCTACCCAGCGACCCCAACGCCTTCTCACCCTCCCGCCAAGCCCTCTCCGGCGTGTTGGCCCAGAGCAGCAACCGGGACCCCGAGGGCGGCTACGGCGAAACCTCCGGCTTCGGCTACTGCTTTCAACAGTTGCGCGACGAAGAGGTAGGCTAGGGCGGCTGTCGAACAAATCGTGCTCGGGCGCCGGGCCGGCTGAAAAGCCGCTCCGGCACCTCCGACCCGCCAACCTCCCCCCCCCCCGGAAGACACCAGGGAAAGCGGGGCTGAGCTCTGGCCGGGGCTCGCGGAGGCGACTGTAGATTCCCGCGTGCGCCCGAGGGTTTTCGGTTGTTTCCGAAGCGGCCGCGGCCGGGCGCCGGGCCGGGTCAAGCCTGCCTTGGTCCTCGGTCAGATGTCCGCGTCTTCCCTGGCCAAGCGCGTGGGTTTTCTCCTTCGGCGCCCACAGCGAGGGAGGCGGGAGCGGCGGGCGGGAAGAGGCAGGCAAGGAAGGCTCCCCCAGGCGCCCCCCCCCATTTCAGGTTCTCTCTGCTGAATTCTCCGCCTAACTCTAGCGCACGCAGGTCTGTTTTCACACCCCACGCAGAACCACATGCGCAGGCAAGAGTGCAACTTTGCGCGACCGATTCCTCTTGAGAGGGTGAAAATCCCCAGGGAAGAAGCGAGCGCGCTGCTCAGGGTCCTGTTTCGCATCTCAGGGGGGCGGGGGTGCCTTTTTGGCTATACACAGACATGTTTGTGTGAAGTCACACCTCGCCTTCTCGCTTGCCAGGAGCACGGAAGGTTAATGGGGTGTCGTTGGGTTGGTCAGGGGCATTGCCTAACTGTCGCTACCTCGCCCTTTCAGTGCAGTGCCCCCATGCCTGGGCTGCGCACGCGAGAGATCTGCTGCCGTGGGTCCGGTGTCGCCTGGGGTGTTCATGGCTGTCTGCCTTGTGCCGATGGTGACGTGGGTAAGATAGCTGAAAGCCGGGGGTTCCTGCTGCCCCGGGGTACCCGATACCCAGCTGGCGTCCTCTGACCCAATTCTTTCCACAGATCCTCACACACACATCCACACGCACCTCTTGGCTGTGCCTGCTGCTTGCCTCCCTACTTGGAAAGCCCCACGTTCCTCTTCCACATCCCCCAAGCAGCCCCGTATGTGGGGGCGGGGGGCGGGCGGGCAGCGGTGGTTCAGGAAAGGGAGCGGAATGGTCTTTCATTCTCTGATGCTGTCTCGCCACAGGGGCTTCTGGGCCAGTTGGAAGGAACGCGGTGGGTTGCCCCAGAGGGTTCCTGCGGCTGAATAATTCTTGCGTGGGTGAGTAGGCGGGGCCACTTGGGAAGGGTTGCTGGACTGCAAGGGATGCAGGGAGCCTTGCTGAGAGGCTGGACCTGCAGGTGGGGGTTTGTCCTCCCAGCTGATCCCACTGCCATCCTGGCTGTCTTTCCCTCTTGCCAGATGTGGATGAATGCCAGGAGGGCAACTTCTGCCACAATGGAGAATGTACCAACACTCGTGGCAGCTTTGCCTGTGTCTGCCATGAGGGCTACATCCTTGATTCCTCCCGCAGCAGCTGCATCTGTGAGTCCGGCCCCAGGGGAAGGCAGGGTGGGACAGGATGGCTCCATCTGGAAGTCTGGAGGGGCCTGGGCCGCTTCCCTGCCTGTGGCCTTGGGAGGGGGGGAGGGGGACTAATCTTTTCTCTTTGTGGCTCCCAAGGCAGGGAGGTCTAGGTGGGCCGATGCTGCCCTCTCCTGGCCATCCAAGGTAACATGGAGGAAACCCAATATTTTGCCCTCCCCCTCCCCCAGGGTGAAAGAGTGGAGTTGACATCTTGTTTAACATTTGGTTGGTTTGAAGAATTCACACAAAAGTATGTAAGAGAGGGAAGTAAGATCAGATTGCTGAGAAAGCCACACTATCCACTTGCAGGCCATTGGCTTTTGATGTGAAAAGCAAGGCTGTGCCAAATGTATAATCGATCAGAAATTGTGTCCAGATATTAGGAAATAATTCTTCAAGTTCTTATTCAAAATTGGACAAATTATGCAACTAACTGATCTGAGTCAAAGATATAGCAAAATTTTATATTGGGGAGTGGCTGAAGGATTTTAAGGCCTTGCAGCAACAGCCACTCTCCACCCTGCATCCTAGCCATGCTCAGACTGGGCTTGCCCCTAGTGGGGGGGGGGCACCCCTTGGATTACCCAAAGCTTTAAGCCCTTTTCTTCCTCCCCAGCCCACCACGTGATCTCTGAGGTGAAAGCCCCCTGCTTCCGCGTGCTGCGGGACGGCCGCTGCTCCCTGCCCACCCTGCGGAACATCACCAAGCAGATCTGCTGCTGCAGCCGAGTGGGCAAGGCCTGGGGCTGGGGCTGCCAGCACTGTCCGCCCTTCGGCTCAGGTGAGGCACCGAGAGCTCTGCCACACGAGCAGAAGTTAATCAGCGGTGCAGGAATAAAGGCAAGGGGATGGGGTGGAGGGTGGGATGGGCACTTTCCCCTCTCCTTTACCTGCCACTGTTGCTCTCCTGCCAGAGGGATTCAAGGACATCTGTCCAGCTGGGCCCGGCTATCACTACTCTGCCTCAGACCTCCGCTTCGACACTCGCTTCCTTGGCCAGGACCCCCCCAGGGTGCCAGTGACCCGTCAGCATGGGAGGCAGGGGCCTCCCCCCCAGGTGCCTCGGACAACAGCAGCACCGTCTCTTGTGGGTATGTCTTCGGGGGGACGACTCATCTTGACCAGGGTAGGCCACCAAGGTAGCCCCCTCCTCTCTTCCTTATGCCAGCTCTTTCTGCTTTGCAGCTCTCTGGAGCGTCCCTCCCACTACGTTGCTGGAGCGCTTTCGTTGGCCCCTGCCCACTCGGTCCCCTGCATCTGGCCCAGCTGCTCCAAGTACAGAAGGTGGGGCTATGCCAGGTGGCAAGGGGCTGGAGGGAAGGGAAGGAAGGAGGAAGGGGGGAAAGGCCAGAGCGCAGAAATGACCAGGCTCCTGTGGCATGCTTCCCCAGAGGCTGGGCGAGGGGTGTGCGAGCGACACCCTCAGGTGTGCGGGCCAGGACGTTGCATTCCCCGCCGGGGGGGCTACACTTGTGTGTGTGACCGTGGCTACTGGTTGAGCCCTCAAGGCACCCACTGCGTTGGTGAGTTGGAGAAGAGTGCCCCCCAAAATCCATGGGGAGCGACCTTTGGGATGTCATGCAGGCCTTCACCTCCTCAACAAGGCCACCCGAAAGACAGAGCCTCTGATGGTCATGTGGATGCTCAGAGGCAAACCGGGTTTTGCAAAACTGGTAGATTCTGGGCTGCGCTTGGCTTGCAGCATAAATGTCCCCCTCCCCCACGTAGGTGGCCAGAGGAGCAGATGAAAGGGCTCCACTGGGCCATTCTTGCCTTCCCACCTTCCCGCCAATCGTACTCCTTTCTTCTCCTCTCTCTGCAGATGTGGATGAATGCCGCAGCAGTCCACGCCCCTGTCCCAACGGGCATTGCCAGAACTCCCCGGGTAGTTTTAGCTGCAGGTGCCACACAGGCTTTCAAGCTGACCCCTCCGGAGTGGAGTGCCAGGGTAGGGGCTCCAGAGGATTTGGCCCTCAGGGGAATCACCCTTCCCATCATGCACCCGTATCTTCCATTGTCCGGTTTCCTTTCCAGATGTTGATGAATGTGCCCATGTGCCCCGGCCCTGTGCGGGTGGTCATTGCCTCAATACCCTGGGCTCCTTCCGCTGCTCCTGTCCCAGCGGCTATCAGCCCGACCTCTCTGGCGCTGAATGTCGAGGTAATGGGAGTGGGGACTTGGTGGGGGCAGGAGGCTGGCTGGCCAGCAGCACCAACTCCTCTCCTTCCCCACCTTTCTACTAGTATGCAGAGGCGGGTGGCATCGAAACGTGGTTCTCATTCAGAGAAGCCTAGGGCATGGTTTGCCGTTATGGCTGCCCTTCTCTTTTTCTGCACATGTAAATGGGTACTCCTAAGCTTCCCCCTCCCATCCTCAAACATGCTGACTCTTGCCTCTGTGCCTGCTCCTGTGGGTACAGCCAGTGTCAGGGCCCACAAGATCACACCCCCTTTGCTGAGAGGGTTTAAAACCCCTCTTAAGTGTGGGTCTCGCTTCCCACAAACAGTTGGTTCCCCTTGGCCAGAGTGTCCTTTTCTGCTGGGGGGGATGAGTACATGAAGGAGACAGGGAGGAGCCTGGGACACAAAGTCACCCTGTGATTTTCCAGATGTGGATGAATGCCAAGAGCGCCCCTCCCTCTGCCAGCCTGGCCGCTGTGAGAACGTGCCGGGCGGATATCGCTGCAGCTGCCCCATTGGTTACCAGCCGAACCCGCTGGGGACTCTGTGTGCAGGTCAGGGGGCTGGGGAGAAGCTGCCCCTGTGGGTTGGCCTGTTGTTCCACTTGTGCTTTGGGGGATGGCAGCAGCCTGTCCACACAAACTTCCCAGGGACCCACTTTGGCAGGCTTTGTTCAGAGGCCTCCGGAGCAGAGAGATGGGCATGGGTCCAGAGGGATGCAGCCTCTTGCTTTGTGTCCCACAGATGTTGATGAATGCTTGCAAAGCCCTCCCCCCTGTGGCTCTGGACGCTGTGAGAATGTGCCCGGTGGATACCGCTGCCTCTGCCCTGCCGGGTTCCGGGCCAGCCTGACGGAGAACCAATGCCTGGGTGTGCAAGGGAAGGGAACAGGGGGGAGGTGTGGGGGCAGCACAGGGGCACCACTGATGGGCAGACTCCTTCCACAGATATTGATGAGTGTACAGCAGGAGGATTGCCTTGTGGCCCTCAGGGGCGCTGCCTCAACACAGAGGGCTCCTTCCGTTGCCAGTGTGCCCGAGGGTACCGGACGGAGGGCGCAGGGGGCACTTCTTGCGTGGGTGAGTGCCACACATTAGAGGAACATGCCAGCCAGGGCTGAGCTCAGTTGGGGGCTGCCACCTTCCTGTAGACCCACGCTTTCCGAGTTCTGGGTCCCTCCAGGCATAGACTGGCAACACTGGCAAGAACGGTGCCCACTCATCTTTCCCCACTGCTAGATGTTAACGAATGCCTGGAGGGTGACTTCTGCTTCCCACGGGGTGAGTGCCTCAACATCGAGGGCTCCTACACCTGTCTGTGCGCCCAGGGCTTCACTGCGGCCCCCGACAGGGCCTCCTGTGAGGGTAAGGGTCCTGTAGGCTCATCTGGGGGGCACTGAGTGCATGCCAAGGGAGGGGTTGAGATCCAGAACCGCTGCAGGGTTCGTGGCCTGCTGACTTCTCTTTTGGCCTTTGCACAGACATTGACGAATGTCTCAGTGCAACAGTTTGTGCTGGAGGGCACTGTGCTAACACCGAAGGCTCCTTTGATTGTTATTGCCCCCCTGGCACCCGCAGCACGCCCAGCAAAGCTTCCTGTGAGGGTGAGTGGCAGTTTTCAGCTGCAGCCTCTCAGCAGTTGGTCTTGGGGGCTGTGGGATGGGGTGGGGGGCACTGTTACTTTCAGCCTGCCAAGGTTGACAAAGGAGAAAGTCAGAATTTTGGTTGAAGCTCTCAGACAGGGGATCCTGGAGTCTCTGGCTGCTGGCACAGGGTTAGCCACCATAAGCACAAGCTCCAAGTCCACCCAATATGGCCTTCCCTCACTTGACAGGACTAGTGGGCTCCGCAAATCAGGAGTTTCTCTGCCCCCCCTCCCCCCAAGTGCTGGTACCTCTCCCAGGAGGGCCTGCTGCCAGGGCCCCTGCAGAGTGTCGTTTCACACATTTGCCTCCTTGCAGGGGACCTGGGGACCCCAGAGGCTCATTCTGGGATGCTCCACCATAGTGGTTAGTCCCTTGAATGCTTATCCAAGTCTGATCTCTGGAATTTTGAGCCCCTCCCCGGGGCAGGGAGCTCCTACTGAGCCTTCCTCTCTTCCTACATCCCACAGACATCGATGAATGCCAGGAATATGGGGCAGCCCTCTGTGGAACACAGCACTGTGAAAACTCAGTTGGCTCATACCGCTGTGTCGTGGGTTGCCAGGCCGGCTACCGAACCAGTGCCACAGGAGATTGTGTTGGTGAGTTCCGCCAGGCCAGCTACTGGTGGGCTTTCCATGTCTCCTTCCCCACCCTAGGCTGGTTCTGGGCATCTGTTGCACAGTGTCAGCATTAAACCCTTCTCCGAGAAGACACCCCCCCCTCTGCCTGGGAGGGTTCATCTTCCTGCTCGTTAACCTTCCATCTGTACCAACCAGTGGTTCCCCCTCCAGATATCGATGAATGCCAGAAGCCCGGGGCGTGTGGAGAGAAGCGATGCGAGAACACACTGGGCTCCTATCACTGTGTGGCCACCTGCCAGATGGGCTACCAAGCCACTGCTGCTGGGGACTGTGTAGGTGAGGACATCCGTGGGGTTTTGGCCATGGGCAGGAGGAGCCTCACAGTGGTGACCTCTGCAATTTAGTGAGCCACCAAAGGATCACAGCTCTTCTGAGTTGGCATACGTGACCCTTGCAGATGTGGACGAGTGCCAGAACAGTTCCCTGTGTGGTGCCCATGCCATCTGCCATAACTTGCTAGGCTCCTTCCAATGTATCTGTGACCAGGGCTATGAAAGTGCCAGGGATGGGCGGCATTGCTTAGGTATGTGGCTGGCAGCAGGGCAGGGGATGGAGACCCTGGGACAAACCGAAGGGAGGAGGGAGGGGGAGGCCTGGATACCAGTGGCACCTTTTTTCCATCCCTTCCTCACAGATGTGAATGAGTGTGAGACACTGCAGGGGGTCTGTGGAACAGCACCGTGTGAGAACGTGGAAGGCTCTTTCCTGTGCATCTGCCCCCAAACTGGGGAAGAGTTTGACCCCATGACTGGCCGCTGCATTGCTTTGCCCAGTGCTGGTAAGAGCTGGGGGGAGGCTTGGAAGGGGGGGAGGGCCCTGTGGGACAGAAGGTAGGTAAGCTCCAAAGGTCTGAGCTGAACAGAGAAGCCCTCCCAGTAGGTGGCCCTTGGAGGGAAACCACTCTGAACCCATTTCTGAAGGATTTGGGGTGGTTTTCAATGTCACACAATAACAATTGAAAACTGTCAGGCAAGTAACTAATTAAGGTGAGCCATGATGGCAGGTCCCAAACGCTTCGTGGAATGATAGGGGAAGGGGGGGCCTGAGGACACCCCTTATTTCGAGAAGCCACCCCTTATTGCTGGGAAAACACCTCCTGCCCCCCACCTCAGATCAAAATGGGTCAGCCAAGGCCGGGCAGGGCGGGGTGGGGGTCTTGCAGATACCTGGGTGCCTGCAGGGCTTTAAAGATGAACTGGATCCCCTAGCAGAGCAACTGCAGGAGAGGAATGATGTTGCCAGACGGTTTGCCAGCTGCATTTCGGACCACTCAGAGCCCTCCAGCAGAGGGGAGGGAAGACTTTGGGGGGAACTATCTGAATGAACCTGGGAGGGGGTCCCATCCACCTTCTCCGTCCTGCAGCTCGTCTCCCAGCTCTCCCCAGGCACCCAGATGCTGCGCAGTCGGAGAGCGCTGACAGCCTGCGACGTGAGTGCTACTATGACCCAAATGCCGCCCAAGCGTGTGAAAATGTTCTGGCCAGGAATGCCACCCGCCAGGAGTGCTGTTGCAGCCTCGGCCACGGGTGGGGCCTTGACTGCCACATCCAGGCCTGCCCCTCCTTGGGGACAGGTAAGACTGGGAGGGTCAGCAGGGCTTCCTGGAAGAGGCTGGGGGGGTGGCACATACAGGAATGTGGATTGGAACAGCTCTAGGAACAGAATCTCGCGCATGCCCCCCCCACTATTAAAAGCTTATTATTTTGCAGCTTTTAAATAGTGACAGAGAAATGGGAAAAACACACAAACATAAAAGTACATGCTTTGTCAAAAAAAATGCATATAAAATGTTTTTAAGTGAAAAAATAAAACAAAAGAAGGCATATAACAATAGCACTTAGGCTTATATACCACTTCATAGTGCTTTTACAGTCCACTTTAAGAGTTTACAGAGTCAGCATATTGCCCCCAACAAACTGAGTCCTCATTTTAGGACTCATTTTATCATTTTAACTGTAAATAGTTACATCTATATAGGCTTGTAGGTGGCATTGGGATCTTCCATCCTTTGGTGAAAGGATCCCCTGTCGTAATGGGAACGGGCAGGGGGGGCGTAAGGGTTTTCTCAAGTTAATTTTGTGGAATGGGCTTTGGGCTCGCTTGCCTGATGGTAACCATACAAGGGACCTTCCCACTCACCTTCAATGCCATCAGAGAGGTGCAATCTCTTCTTACTCAGAGAACCTGTGGAGGTCGGGTGGGGGGGCGGGAAATGCAGAGGGGAGAAATGATGGCTTAAGATGTTGCAAGCAGCCTTCTAGTCTCCTCTCTCTGGAAGGAGTTTGGTCAGGCCCCCACCCAGCTTTGCTCATGACTTCTAGGAATCCAATAGGAAATGGGGAGGGAGAGATCTGTGCTTCTAATGGAAACCAAAGCAGGGGTTGGCTTTGCATTTGGGGCCCCAGAAGGCTGCAGGTGGTCTTGAGAATGTCTGTCAGCAGCCCCAGCTGTCTCTGGCAGAGGCAAGCAGGCTCCCTTTGTGGGCGTTCCTGGCCTCCGCCATCTTCCCTCTCCTCTGAAGGCTGTTGGATGGGAGCTCCAGCAACAGCTTACACTGAGTGAAGTCTTCTTCCAATGGCCGAGCCACCCCTGCCACAGACTGAGGCTAGGAGGGGGCCTTGGCCCTTGGGGCAGCTGCTGACAGATGGCCTGTTTCCCTGCAGCTGAATTCCAGGCTCTGTGTCCTCATGGCAGTGGCTACGCTGCTGTCCTCATCAGAAACGTCCCAGCAGTTACAGGTGCGCACTTGTGTGTGTGGGTGTCTGGATGTGGCCAGCTTAAATGGGGCCGGGGGCCCACATGGAAGAGAGTGGTTGGGGGTCTTCACTTTATGCCTTTATGCCCAACTCGGTATTCCTATACAGATGTGGACGAATGTGCCCTCTTTGGCTCCCAGATGTGCAAGGGAGGGGTTTGTCTGAACAAGATCCCTGGCTACTCCTGCTACTGCCCCAATGGCTACTATTACGAGACACAGCACCTGGAGTGCATTGGTGAGGACTGCTGCCCCCCCACCCCCCACTTCTGAGGTGCTTGTGACCTGAGATTTATCAATGCTCTTGTCGCCCCAGATAACGATGAGTGTCTGGATGAAGAAGCTGAGCCCTGCGTGGGGGGCCACTGCATCAACACCATCGGCTCCTATTACTGTTCTTGCGCTGCTCCCCTAGTGCTGGACCCTTCCCAGCGCCGATGCGTGACCAATGAGAGCCACGGCCTGGGTTCGTATTCTCCCCCGTTCTGGCCCAGCCTCGCAGGGGGGCATTGGGAGATGGATTGCAATGCAAGCCTTGGTTCTTTGGGGGTCATCCTGGCAATCCCTGCTCTGCCCCCCAGATGAGGACCTGGCCGTCTGCTGGCAGGAGGTGGGCCCGGACCTGGTGTGCCACCGACCCCGCCTAGACCGCCGGGTGACTTACACGGAGTGCTGCTGTCTCTACGGAGAGGCCTGGAGCATGAACTGCGCTCTGTGCCCAGCCCGGGACTCGGGTAGGTGCCCTCCTTCTCCCCAGGAGCAGAGGATGAAGCAGAGGAGCGGGCCCTGTGCCCGAACAGGGAAGGGGAGAGGAGCACCAGGCACTGGGAAGGAAGAACTGCAGCCACCTTTCCTTTTCCCAGACATCTGTTTTCATTTATTGTATTTATTAAACTTTTATGCCACCCATCCTCATGGTAAGGAGCTGGAGGCCAGAAAGTACTTATTCGATGCAATGAGGTTTCTGGGTGCTCCCTCAGGCCCCATATTGTGTGCTTGAAATGCAGCTCTGCCAGCCCAGGAGGTGGTGATGGTGGTTTGCCTTCTTCCTGAGCCCCCGCTTCCATCCGGCCACCGGGAGTCTCCTTCCCTTTTTCTAGCTTTGTGACTCTTAATAGCAAGGAGAGACTGTGGGGGAGAAGCTAATGGGGCACTCTTCAGAGCATTTCCTCTGGAGAGGATGGCCTCCTTTGTTCAACAGCCTGCCTATGCCCTCCTGCGGGGCCTCTAGAGACCATCTGCCCCTGCATTTAGACTGCTTTGCTCCTAACCCCCCTCCCGCCCCTTTGCTCTCCCCAGATGACTTTGAGGCCCTGTGTAATGTCCTCCAGCGCCCCAGTTATGGGTTGGGGCGGCCGGGCAGCCTGCGGGCACCCTTCGAATATGGCGGAGGAGAGTTTATGCCTTACAGCCCTGATGTCTACGACCCCCGGGCACGGCCTGGCCCTCTGCTTCCCAGCTATGATGCTCTCCCTCATGAGTCACTCTATGGACCATCCCCATACGAGGCAGCTGGCCTGGACGACGCACCCTATAGCGATGCACAGCTGGAGACCCCAGCTGAGGACCTCCGGGATGAACACCAGCCTCGTAGCCCCCCTAACTCAGACTGGCACTACCCGTCCCGTGGCCATAGGCACTCCTATCCTGAACGGCCCAGTCGGGCCAGCGAAGACTACCGTGAGTGGGTGACAAAGGGAAGGGGGGAGCCACCACTTGTATGTTTGCAAAACGGCACTTGCAGGTGGTCCTGGACTGGAAAGAAAAAGGGCCTCTGGGAGGGGAAGCTGTAAGGAGGGGGTGGGGGTCTTGGGCCATGGCAGTGCAAAAGGGAAGCCTGCTTGCATGTCTTGGTCTGTCACCAGCAGGCCGTTTTGGAGGCGCTGGAGGGCTCCCTGCCGAGGAATGCGGGATCCTGAGTGGTTGTGAGAACGGCCGGTGTGTCCAGGTTGCCGATGGGTTCACCTGCTCCTGCAACGAGGGCTACCGCCTTGACCCAACCCACATGGCCTGCCGTGGTGAGGGGCCCCCTCTCCTTGCCCCCCCCAGCTGGCGGGCTGAGCCTGGTTCTCCTGGCCAAAGGGCAGCCTGACATGATCTCTCTCCTCTCCGCAGATATTGACGAATGCAGGGAAGTGGACAGGCTGTGCTCTGGTGGCCGCTGCCTCAACCTGGAGGGCTCCTACCATTGCCTCTGCCCCCTTGGCACCGCGCCCACAGGGCAGCCCCCCCGCTGCCTCCACATCCCCCGCAGCCGAGCCTGAGTTGGGACGGGTGGGGAATATTTATTACTTGTCCAGGTGGGAACGGAGAAAGGTTGTGAAGGTGAAGGGACCCTTTGCCCACCCCACCCCCTCGGCCTGCAGTCTCTGGAGGAACTGGGAAGATGGCTAGTGCTCAGGAGAGGGGGGGCTCTTCTGCTCCTGATTAGGGCCATGGGATGAGGGGGGTGGCCAAAAGGTCCCAAAATGGGGTCAGATCCCTCTTGTCCTTGGAAGGCAGGAGCCCATCTGGATGCCTGCGATTGGAAACATTTTCTCCCCTGAACCCCCCACCCCCTCTTTGTCAGTGTGTGCATGGGAAGGCATGCCCCCCACCCCCCTCAGCCTTTCCTCATCTGCTGAAGACTCACAGCAGAGTTACCCTGCAAGGCCCTGGTAGGGGCACAGGAGCCTCTGAGCAGTGACAGTCTTCCCCTGGGCTTTTGTAAAGGGTCTGGAAATAGGGCCGAGTCCAGGTGAATGCCCTGCCTCCAGCCCTACCCTCATGGACCGAGCCCACACACCCCCAAATGTTTCCCAGGTACTTAAATGCCTGTCATGAGGAGAGGGGCCCTACAACTCACCTTCTCTGATTCCCCCAGCTCCACCTCCCTTGTTGCTCCAACAGACGCTTAAACTCCCTTGCACATCCAAAAACTCCCACAATCCAGGTAGGGGCTGTCAGCCAGGCAGGGGGCCTTTTAGCATCATGCAAGCTGGGGCCACAGTCACTTCTTCCCTGCTGTTACTGGACCAATAAATATTTTCTATAAAAGGAGTTGACAGATTTGGCTTCTCTAAGGAGAAGAGAGACCAGCAGGGAGTTCGTTCAATCCCCTGCTCTTTGGGGCACAGGTGTTTGGTGGGGACGAGCAGAGTTGGCTGGACTAACTGGGGTGGGTGGGGTGGAAACAGCAACACAGGCCAAGCAGCGTCCAGGGTGGCTCTGGGGTCTCACCAGCCAGAAGGGGAAGGAGCTTCTGCAGTCAAGCACTCAGAAATAACCACAAAGAGTGAATCCCACCAGTTTGTCTTCTCTGATGTGAAGTGTCAGTAGCAAAAAGTTTTGAGAAATGGACCCTGGATGGGGCCCTTCACTTCCACTTTCCATTTGAGGCTTTGGTGTCTCAAGCGCACAGCGCCCACCCCCCCTTCCGCCTCAGCAGCTCCTGGCTTGCAAAGCTCAGCTCAAACCACAGCCGGAGGCAAAGGTACTGGGCCACGTTGCACTGACTACAGTGATAGAAGGAGATGTCAATGGGGAGGGACGAAGGGCCTGGAAGCTCCAGCCTTTCAGCTATGCTTTTTAAATATCGCCCTCCCCAGCCCATCCAAAGGGAAAGCCAGAAGCCTCTGCAAACTCTCCTTTCCTGGCCAGAGAGTAGCTGTATTCCCTCCCCTGCCCTCCACAGGAGTGGACTGTCCAGGAGCCTCGTTTCCTTGGTCAGGAAGGGCAGAGTGATCAGCCAGTCTTCCTTGTGGATTAGCCCGACTCTTGCCCTGCTGCTCCTTGCTATTATCTGTTAATGGAGGAATAATGGGATGGGCCACATGGCCGGGGCTGTGCAGGCAATTTTTCCCTCTGCCCTGGCTCAGAGGCAGGGCTGGGCTCCCCCAGGATACTCTGATGCTCTTCGGGAGGCTGCTCCGGAGGCAGGAAGACCAGCTCAGAGAGGCCGTGTAGGTCTGCCAGCTTGTGGAAGGTCTGGAGAATCAGCAGCATGGCCATGAGCCCCAGAAGCAGATAAACTGGAAGGAGAGGGGGGAGATTGAGCCAGGAGCAGGTCTGGAAGACAGGCAGGCCCTTCCCTCCTCCTTGCCCACCTGAGAATCACAGGTTGCCCACGTGAGGTGGCAGGCTTGGGATACCCATCAAAACTAACTCGTCCGGCTCAGCCTTCCACCTGGATGCTCTCTGGGTGGGCTAGCCTTTTTGCTTGTTCCCGGGGCACAGCGCTACTGACCTGTGACAGAGACCTTGTAGAGGGGGCGAAGGCGTTGTCTGGGCTGCTCCCCAGGGACGTAGTCTCCCAGGCCAATGGTGCAGAGGGAGATGAAGCAGAAGTAGAAAGCATCCAGAAAACTCCAGGATTCTTCCAGGGAACTGAAGATGGCAGCAGGCACTAAAAAGAAGGTCGCCAACACCAGGCCCATCAGCACTAACAGGTGCCCCCACGACAGGATGCGGCGGTCAGAGCCACAGCGGAGGGCCAGGTATTCCAGAGGCCCAGAGGTGAAGGTGCCCACAAGGCGCTGCACGGTAGCTGTCAGCACCAGCATGGTGAAGGGGACGCCCACCACCGCGTAGAAGATGCAGAAGGCTTTGCCAGCATCTGAGAGGGGTGTAGTGTAACCGTATCCTGGGAGGAGGGAAGGGTGAGTGTCAGAGGCAGCGGTCACTGTGCTGAGGCTCCCCCCTGAACAGCCCTGGGCCCAAGAGCAGAGACCAGCGCATTCATCCCTCCACTGACCACGCCAGCAAACAGGCTAAGCCACCTCTGGCCACGGGAGGACTATTCCTGCCTTCGCAGCATGCGCTGCTGTGGGGCCCAATTCTTAGTTGGATAGCAACCTCACACAGCTCGTGGGACAGAAGGTAGGAAAGGTGAGAGGCAGGCAGACCTCCACCCTTCTGAAGGGAAGCGGAACATTCATGGAGCAACTGGAACTTCATGACGGATGGGGGGAGGGGGCGAGGGGCCTTTAGTTTGAGCGCTTGGGCTGGAAGCATAATAGGTTGATCACTGCTGGGACCTCCAAGGCTTTTTATTGTTGAAAAGAACAAATGTCAATCCTGTATATTGGGCACAGCAGGGCTACCCAGAAGTGACATGGGGCAAAGAGGCGGATGGCAGATGCCAGCGCCCTAGAGACAGCAGAAGCCAGAGGGTGGGGAACCCTGGCTCCTGGGCAGCACCACCTGCTGCCTAATCCCCGTTCATATCGAACACTGCCTGTGGTGGCTTGGGGGCTTTTGGGTTAAGACAGGAGGGACAGTGACCTCTCTGTCCTAAAGGCAGAGCTGCACACCAACTGGGGATGCCACACTATGCTGGAAAGACTAGCTAGCTTACTTGTGGCTCAATTCCAGGGGGCCAAATGGTTGGGCTACCCCACCTGTGTGGCAAGAGATATCAGGGCTACGGACCTTCTTTAAAGCTAACGCTGGCACTTCTGCCCATAAGCCAAGTATTGCTGATAAAGCCCAGCACTTGCCCATATTACCTTTCAGCTTTTCTCTCTCCAGAAAGAGATGGAGAGGGTAAATTAACTCGTTTTTTCTTCTGCCATATCTGTGGGTTCTGTAATCACAATTATCTTCAGAGTCATTCTACATGACAGTTGTTCAATATCAATGTAACTATTGCTAATAAAATTTTGCAGGACTCTCCTCTGTGAAAGTATTTGCTATTAGATTTTTTAAAAATGGAACATGAGATTTTACTACTTGCCATTGGCACAAAAAGCAAAGAAATCGCCCCTCACCAATCATGGAACTGGACTGAGAAGGGCACCAGTGTTGCGACCTGTTTTGCAGGGCACCTGGACCGTCGGCAGCAGAGCCCTTCCAGGAGTAAGAGGATCCACGGAGGCCAGCCCAGTAGCCATCCGATGCTCCCTCGGAAGAGCCGGCTGCCGCCAGGCAAGGTACAAAGCGGAGCCGGTGGATTGCTACCAGTTCACGCATCCAAACGACCCTGAAAGCCCGAGCGGGGAGACGCAGTTCCGGGTATTCCGCTAAGCCTGGCAGCTCCGTCCACACCCTTCGGGTCAGAACGGGCTGCAGTGCAGGGACCGTATGTGACCAAGCGCACCAGCAGAGAACCGCCCCGAGGCAGAGCCAGCGACTGTATTAAGGCCCATCTCAGCGCGCTCTTTCAGTCCTTGGCAGCCCCGTGCGAGCAGCAGCCGAAGACCAGGAAGCGGCCCCGGCTGCTCACCTGCGCCAGGAGTTCTCCGTCAAGATTGCGTCTCGGAGGGTGGAGGCACGGCGCCACGTCCAAGCGCGAAAAAGAGGCTGTGCCCGAAAGGTGGGGGTGGAGGGTGGGTCTCGGCCTAGGGCCCCGAAACGCGCTCCTCCCGATGCCGCCACCTTACAAGGCGTTCGGCTGCGGGGATCCCGCCTGATCCTTCCCACCCACTGAGCCCGGAATGACCCGCCGAAAGGGCAGGAGAACAGGGCCGCCTGTCGGCCTCGGCTCACCCACGGTGGTGATCAAAGTGCTGGCGAAGAAGAAGGCCGAGGCGAAATCCCAGTTGGACGTGGCAGCCGAGCCGTTGTGGAGGAGGGCCGCGGCGTGGCGGTCGGCGCTCAACACGGCGTCCAGGAAACGCTCCAGCCTGGCCTCGGACAGGCAGGGGCTGCTGCGCAGGAAGTCGCTCTTAAGATCCCGCAGCTCGGCTCGCAGCCGGCTCTCGTAGGGTCGCTCGACGGCTGAGATGATCAGCGCTCCGAGCAGCAGATAGCCGGCGTAGGCTAGCGAGAAGGCCGCCAACACTGCGCCGCGCCTCATGGCTCCCTCGGCGGAGCTCAGAGCCACTCGCGGCAAATAGAAGCGGAAGAAGGAGACGCTTGCAGAAGCGAAGCCGGTGTCCGCCCCGGCACTCCGCGGACCAGCCTCTTGGGCGGCGGCCAGGCCCCTCCTGTCAGGCGGAGCCGGAACTGCCAAGAGTTGCACCTGGCAAGCGGGATACTGGGTCGGGCGCTTTCCGGACCAGTTCCACCAATTCCGCTCCTTCCACCGGGTGTGACGGTCGGGCGCTCAACATCGAGTACATGTTCAGGGGCCCTGGGCACCTCACCCTGACGCAGGCTAACAGATTAAAGCCAACCCTTGGAGTTCACCCCAGGAGGGTCAGATTTTGGAGAAAGCAAGGGTGGTGGGCTCTTGGATGGACTACTGATCCAAAGCCGTTGTGCTTCACTGCTGCCCTTCTCCTGTCCTTGGCTTTGGTCCTTGCCACCTCCCAGAATGTGGGAGGGGGGGATGTTATAAAAGAGGAGCAGAAAAAAGAGCTCACTAGCCTCCGGAGGTCTTGGGGCGGGTGGCATTCCCCCCTCCCCTTTCAGGACTGTGGGTGTGCTCTAGGCAGGAAGCAAGTGCGAAAACAGGAACTGGGAAATTGGTGAGAGGCTTGCTAGCAAGGAAGCCTCAGGACCCTGGGGAGAACAGGAAGAGCCACCAGGCAGAGAAAAAGGATCCCCAGCAACAGCAGTCAGAGTGGGGAGCAAAAGAATTAGAATGATAATTCTTTATCAGCCAAGGAATTTATCTCCGGTGCATAAGCTCTCAGTGTACATACAAGTAAAAAGTGAAGCAGATCCCTCAACATCATTTTTTATTTTCCAACATTCACTCTCATCTTTCATGTGGACATTTCCAGAGTGTTCGCATGTGTACATGAACAGCCTGTGAGGGCCCGAGTGCTTGTTCCAGAAGGACTGATTCCCCAATTCCACCAGACCCAGTGAAAGGGAGCCTATGGCTCTCTGTGCCACTTAGAGCCCCCCAGCATGGTCCCCAGAACCCACCAAACTGCCTGAAAGTGAATCCTCCTTCTGAGACCCACTGACACCCGTGGAGGGCTGATGCCATGCGCTCCCCATCAACAAGGGCTTCTTGCAGAAAGCAAAGCAAGGCTCTCCCTCACAAGAAGAATCTGAAGGAACAGCAGCTGCTGAAACCTTGGGGCACCAGCCCAGCCGTGAAAGGAGAACTCCCCAAGTAAGAGCCGCTTAACACAACTGCCGGGTTCTCAACAGCTTCAACCAGATGGTCACAGGACACAGAGAAGATGGCTACCTGCAAAATGGGGACAACAGTCTGACCTTGGAAAGCCTGATGCAGGGGCTATTATTTAGCCATTAAATGTCTAAGGAACCCAAATCTGGAATGACTCTTGGATGCTTCATATAAGAAAAGAACGACCGCCCCTGGGAGGGAGCAAATCAAAACAACCGCGTGCCTGTTCCCTGGCTTAAAGGGGCCTGCCCATTTACTGACCTGAGCCCTGGGAAAGGCTGGGTATTTAAGCCTCTTTGAAAGGGGTGGGCATGCAGATCTTGAGAGGCCAATGCAGCAAGAAAGAAGACTGACTTAATCAAACAAGCGAAGCCTGTCAGGCTGTGCAGGTCAGGCAGTGGCTGTAGCTGATACCTAGGCCCTACATTGCGCTTGACAGAACCTGCAACTGCACCCAGGAGCAGGGATGCCACTTGGGCATCACTACTTATGCCACCACACACTGGCTAAGTGCAGCTTCTGAGTAGCCCACCCACAAGATGCCCCATGTAAAGACTGCCTGAAGACCTTCCTGGCCAGAACTGCCATCTGTTCTTCAAGCAGGAGCTGAGAATCCAGGCAGCTTGCCAGTCCCAAATGGGCACTGCAGCCTGACTCATGGCTAAAGGTGGGAGATCCCCAGGTCCAGTCAAGTCAGGGTGGCAAGGTTCTGTCCCAGTGTCAGGAATTTAGGCGGGTTGGATGGAGAGGAATGGTTTGACCCTGCCTTGACTTGAGTGAGGTAGCATATGCCCCTTCAAGGTGTGCCACCTGAAGTTCTTCCCGTTCTGTGTCAGTTGGAGCCAGGAAGGCCTTTCCTAGATTGGGGGCCCTTTCGACAGGCACTCATGTTCTAGCCTTCTTAAGCTTGACTACTGTGATGCACTGTAAACAGGCTCCCTTGAAAAGGACCTGGGAACTTCAACTGGTCCCAGAATTCAGTAGCGAGAGCAGTGATGGGCATGCCTCAATTTGCCCACCCCTGCTTTGCAAGCTATATTGACTGCTGGCTTACTTCCAGGCAGCCTTCAAGGTGGTGGGTGCTAGGTTACTTGAGGGATCACCTGTCTCCCATCATGTATATCCATCCCATTCACTCCTGCAGGGATGGGACGCTGCAGGTTCCTTCAATGAAAACATGCCAGCTATCAGGACCTAGAAACGGTCCTTCTGCCCTCCGGAACGAGCTTCTGCCGCTGCTCTTTAGACGCCACGACCTGCTTTTCACCCAGGCCTTTGGCGAGGGAGGCGACCCCGCACTTCGTTGCACTCGCCATCCTTAGCTTTCACCGTCGCTGTTGGAATTCCTTGGCTCGCTTGTCGCAGCCGCGCGGAGTCGTCGCAGGCAAAACCGTCTGAGAAATCATTCTCACGGCTACCATGAACCCAGAGCCGCTCGCTGAGCCGGTTCCTCCCCTCGAGCGTCTCTGGGCTGCCCGGAGCAGACCCCGAAACCGCGGGTGGCCCTCCCTTCCTCGCCCCCACCGACGGGAACCGCCTCCGGGCGGGACGGCTTGATGCGCGGTGACGTCATTGCCACCGCCAAGCGGGCGGGGCCTCGGTGACGTCAAGCGGTATCCCAGCAACCGGCCTGCCTGTCCGGAGCGACGGTGGCCTCACGTGCCTCGCCTCCAGGACCGCCCATTGCTCCGCCCAAAGCAGCGCCCAGCTATGGAGGGCGACCCGGCAGGAGGGGCCGCGCGCGCGCGTGGGTGTCGCGGGGGGCCCCGGGGGGCTCGGAGGGAGGGAGGGCCCGGGGGGGGGTCTCTCCGCGCCTCCTGAAGGCCGACCCGGTTTTCCCTTCGCAGCGCCGGCCGAGCGCCGCCCGCCCGCCGCCCCGCCGCGGCTCTCGGAGGACCCGAGCGGGCGCCCCCCGCGGCCGGACCCGCTCTCCAACCTGGCCGCGGCCTACGGGAGCAGCCTGGCCTGGCGGGGGAGGGCGCTGGTGAGTGACGATGCCGGTGTCGGGCATCTGCCGAGTATGTGCAGAGCGCCGCCCGCCTGACCCGCGTCTCCCCGCAGGCCGAGCGCCTGGTGCCGCTGCGCCGCCTGCAGTGCTACTTCGCGGTGGACACGCGGTACGTGGGGCAGAAGCTGGCGCGGCTGCTCTTCCCCTTCGGGCACCAGGTGAGCGGGGGGGTGGCGGGCGAGGGATCCTCCCTCCCCCCTTCCCGCCCCCTCCCCCCTCCGTCTGTCTCTCTGTCTGTCTCGGCAGGACTGGCAGGTGCGCTACCAGCAGGACCCCCCCGTGGCGCCCCGCTTCGATGTCAACGCCCCCGACCTCTACATTCCAGGTAGGGCCCGGGCAGGTGGGGGAGGGGCGGTGTCCCGGCTGCAGGGCCGCCCCCCTTCCTCCTCCTCCTCCTCCTCTGCTTCCTCCACAGTCATGGCCTTCATCACTTACCTGCTGGTGGCTGGGCTGGCGCTGGGCACGCAGAATCGGTGAGGCTGGTGGGGGCACCCGAGCCAACCGAGCTCCCCTTCCCTTGCCCGGAGCCCCCTCTCCACTCTTGCTGCTTGCAGGTTCTCCCCCGACCTGTTGGGCTTGCTGGCAAGCTCCACCCTGGCGTGGCTCATCGTGGAGGTGCTGGCCGTTCTGCTCGGCCTCTACCTTGTGGCTGTCAACACCGCACTGACCCCGATCGATCTGGTCGCCTTCTCAGGCTACAAATATGTAGGGTGAGGAGCTTGGGACCCTTGCATCCTGGCCGGGGCGGAGGGAAGCTGGATTGGTAGTGAGGTTGACCCATCTTTTTCTCCTTGCCAGTATGATTGCAGGCCTCTTGGCAGGGCTGGTGTTTGGGAAGCCTGGTTATTACATGCTGCTCGGCTGGTGCTGTGTCACCATCTTTGTGTTTACGGTAAGAGGGAAGCTACCATGCTGGGCTCGTGTTGCGGGTGGATGGGCGGCCTTCCCCTCAACTGTTGCGGGTCCTTGGCCACCTGCCTACACTGACTTTTCCTAGTGGGCTTCTCTCATCCATCCTTCTTCTCCCAGATCCGTTCGCTGCGCCTGAAGATCCTGTCAGAGGCAACTGAAGGGGTCCCGAGGCAGGTTACCCAGAACCAAGTGCGCATGTACCTGACCATGGCTGTGGCTGGGCTGCAGCCCCTCCTCATGTACTGGCTGACCTTTCACCTCATCTACTGATGCTTTGCTCAGGCAGCTGCTTTGTGCCCCCCACATCCACCCACCATTTCCAACCAGTCCCATCTCCCTGGCCACCCTGGTTGTGCAGAAGACAGAGTAGGGCAAATGGGCATTTCTGGGCCCTAATTCACAGCTCCCCAGTCCTTGTTTGCAAGGGGCCTGGCAGTTTGCACTGCTCCTACCTTGATTTGGCTCAGGACATTTACTTGTCCCGCTCTTTTCTGTCTGGTTCCTGTCCAGCCGGGTTGGTCACTCCTGCAGAGGAGCTGGGAAAAGCCTGCTTTCCTGTCCCTTCAGGATATGGAATTTCCTGCTTGCCACAAACCAAATAAAATGTGGGAGGCAGTGTGCGTGCTCTGTCATTTTGAGAGAGGTACTGGAAGGCATTTTCTATCTGCCACCTTCTGTCCCCCAAGGGGTTGGCCTGTCCTGCCCTGCCCTGCCACATGTGGTCAGGAGCAAAACGGTTGTGCCTTCAGCCACTTGGGGAAATGTTTGGAAGAGCGTGGGAAAGAGAAGCAGTTAGGTTTCTTGTGGCAGGCAAGCCTGTTTTGCAACAGGGGCTTTCCAGGGAGTAGCAGCTACCTTTGTTGCCTGCGCTGAATGGGCAAAGGGCAGCCTTAGTTGGGCAGGATAAGGACTTGGGAGCTGCTGCCGGCCTCTTCCGATGCCTTCTGGGCTGCAGCCCTTGGCCAGTAGCCCCCTAGTACTAAAGCATTCGTTGTACAAAAGTTTACTCTTTTATTTAGAGTCCACTCATTACTAAAAAGAATTAAAAGAATCCCTCAAGATTTAATACAATCAAGTTTTGATTTGTTTTTTAAAAAAATATAAAACCCATTTAAAGCTGGTTATGTAGAAGCTTGCTCAGTGAGATGCCTTTGCAGCAGCTGTGCTCGCTGGAGCCGCTCTTGAAAGTCCCCCTCAGATTGGAAACACAACCTTTCCCAGTAGGAAGGGAAGCATGCGGTGGAACTGCTGGCAGCTGTAACCAATGGTGCAATCCAAGGCCTTCGGTTGCCACAGTGCCCCCTCCAGCTCCTCTCTCTGCTTTCTTGCCAAGCCAGAGGCATTAAGGTGGGCCTGTTAGTCAAAGGTGGCCTCACCTGAGTGTCTTTGGAAAAATGGTTGCAGCTGTGGCACTCGATAATCTCAAGAAAACCATCTGGCACACTGGAAAGCAAAACTGGGCAGCCCCAACAAAGAAAGGGGGGGAGGCACTGGAGGGAAGGTCCTGGAAGAGAGCTGAGCTTAAGGTATACTGAGGAATGAACTAACAAGGGGGGTGGGACACCTTGCTTTTAGGGTCCTTACACCTTGCTTTTCTCCCTTCCTGGCCCCCCGATTGGGGGCTCTTACATTCTGCCGGCTGCACTGGCATAGCCATATTTGGGATACTCAGCATTCCTTTCCCCCAGGGAAATGGGGTTTCACAGGGCTCTGGTAGAAGCTGCTGTAGAGCCCCCTGCAGGCACTACTTTACATAGCCTGTTCTCCCACCCCCCTGGGAAATGCATGGCTGTGGTAGTTAGCCCAGCCCAGCTTGAGAGGGAAGATGGTACCTTTGAGTCTCGGGTGCACTGGAGGAATTCTGCAGAAGCACACGGGTGTGAACACCCCAAAAGTTTTCTTCCTCCTGAAGAAAAATGGCTTCGGCAGCTCCACCACTCCTTTCCCCAACGATTAACGTGTGCAGGGCACAGGCCCACCCATCTGAGCCGCCTCTGCGGGACTCAGCTAAGGGAATCACGGGCGGCTTCAGCAGGGGATTCCCAGGAGCTCTCCCATTGCGTTGAGAGGGCCCAAGTGAGGCAGGGCTATGTAGAGCCTATTCACCAGAGGGAAGGCAAGGGGGGCTCTGGGTCAAGCGAGGAGTCGTCATCGCTGGCTCTGAAAGGGGGGCACTGCCCGCAGCTCCTCTTGGACTCCTGTGGAGCAGCTGAGCCAATTCCCCCGTGTACTGGAAAGGGGGATGGGCGGGGGGGGGAAGAGGAGTGGGACGTTCCCAGGGAAAGGGATATTTCCCTATCAAAGCCCTGCAGGGTAAAGCTGCCTGCTGCTGTATTTACATGCTGCTTTGGTTCCCACTGAGGCAGCTCTCTCGCTCAGAGGGTGTAGGCATTGCTCATCAGATACTCTTTGTCATCCAGTGTGCTCCACACCGTTCCCACTGACAAGTCCGGGTTCTTCCGGCAGATCTTGACAAAGAAAACCCCCATCGAGCCCAGCAGGATAGTCACCAGGATGGCCAGAAGGACTGCAAGGATCACAGCTGGAGAAGAGAAAGAGGCAAAGGATCAGGTGGGGGAAGGGGCTTTGCTTTCAGGAAGGCGGGGGAGCCTCCCTGCTACTTGCTTGGTTGGCAAGGCAACTAGTACTGTGCGCCTCCTTATCCAGAATGAGAACTTACCACCGAGGGTGATGGACAGAAGGGAACACGCGCACAATGGGATTCCCTTCCCTGGAGAAGCTGTGGCAGTAGCACAATGAGGGAGTCGGCAGCCCTTCCCACCTCAGAAGAGCTGCTGTGGAGCTATTGTACCAGCAGCACCAAGGACAGCCCTGCCAAGATGTCCCAGAAAACCCAGGCCCTTCTTGGATTGAGCTGGCCACAAAACCAAGGTGCAGTGGGAGATCCCACTTCCCTCGTGGGAGTCCCTGCAGTCTCAGCTGAGGGCTAGCTACATACCTCTGGTGGAGAAGCTGAAGGGTTCGGACGGGAGGCGAGGGTGTGCATCTGTGTCTCCTGGCTCTTCGGTTGTCTCTGAAGCCGGGAGAAGACAAAGAGGAACTGGTGAAAAGTGGGGAGTTTGGGGAGGAGTGATCTGGAGTCCCAGCTGCCCTTTTGGGGGTCGTGTGGGGGAAGCATGGACTTTTCCAAATCACGTTGGATCTTGGGAGGTGGGGTGGGAGGGCATGCCAACTGTGTGGGAAGGGCAAGAGGTTACCTCCATCACCTGTGCACTGGCTCCAGCAGTGCTCCTCAAAGAGATAGTTGTTCTTGTTGCCACGGCAGCCCCCATAGACAAACTTCTTGCACATCTGGCTCTCGAGGTCAAAGTACCAACGGAGGAAGGAGGCTCGGCAGGGACCTACCACCCGGGGCGCAGCGCAGAATTCTAGGGGAAAAGAGATAGTTTGGAGAGTCGCCTGAAGGGAAAATGAGAGTCCAGGGCCCAGGGAAGAAAGGCTCCCTCTTACCTCTGAAGCCAGGCTTATTTTCGTAGGCCTCTGGGTGATGTCCGGCTCTTGGTGTAGCCACTGGGAGAAAAGCAGAGCAGTTGGCCAGAGGCTGAAGACCAGTGATCATCCTTGGCAAAGCTGACTCTTCCAAGCCACTCCCCCCTTCCCAGGCCTGGGCACCCCTAATATGCACACCAAAGGTCCTAGAGGCTCATCTGCCCCACTCTCCAAAAGGCAGCGAGTGCCAAACAAGGTAAGACTTAACTTGCAGGAACACCTCAAGAAATCTCTGGCTTTGGTGAGGCTGTAGAAAACATCCCCTTGCAGAGAATTTGGTCACCAAGGCAGCATTATTAAAGGGCTACAGATTTTCAGAGACCCCAGCCTCCAGCCCACCCAAGCTCAGAGAGCAATTGCTTTAGCTCCCAATTTCTGTCCATTCTTCTAGCCTCGTGCATGAACCCAGGACTTTTACCTTTAGTGGCTGGCCCTCCACGCACCACTGTTGCCTCTGCAGCCCCACCTGGAAGTCAAGAGAATTCTGGCATCAGAGACCCAGAGCAATGGTCTTCTGGCGGCAGACTCACCAAAGAGCTTGACCTGACCTGGAACACTCCTGGCGGAGCAGCCTTGGACAAAATCTCCTGGGGAGATCTCAGCCTTTTCTCTGTGTTAAAGTTGTTAAGTTTTAAGCTGCATTCTGGAGGGTGACCTGGAGCACACCCCTTGCTGGGAACCAACTGGGGATGCCAGGTCCTGGGGACTCCCACTTCCAGCACAAGGTGCTCTGAAGGCAGGAGAAACACAGGCTGCTTCCTCTCGGGGCTGAGAATTTGGGTGTAGCATAAGCCACAAAGCACAAAGGGGAGAAAGGCAGCGGGAGCCTCAAACCGTTGTAGTGGCAGGGGGTCCCAGCAGTAGGAAAAGAGGAAAGCAGCGGCAAGTGTTGTGTTCCCAAATACACTTTACCCCAAATCTCTCTGGCAACTCTCTGGCATGCTCACCTGTGGGGTGGTGCTCTCTGAGCTAGGTTGTTTTCTTGCAGACGTTTCATTACCCAACTAGATATCACCAATGCTAGTCAGTGCTAGACTAGCACTGATGATTTTACCTAGTTTGAATAATAAAATGTCTTCAGAGAAACCAAGCTCAGGGAGTAACAAGGACTCTCATTTCAACCCTGACCTACAAATATTCTCCTTTATTGATGCTCACCTCTGATACACATCTGGAAGCAGTCCTGTTCGGAGAAGAAGTTGTTGGCATTGCCTTTGCAACCCCCAAAAATGAATTCCTGGCACGTTTGACTTGTGGCATTGTACCACCACCGATGGAAGGATGCCCGACAGGGGCCCACCGTCTTGGGCGAGTGGCATCCATCTGAAAATAAAGAGAGGTTTGTGGAAAGAAGCAGCTTCAGAGAGGCCGGTGGCCTCCACACTCAATATTTTTCTGATGGCATTTAGGGCCACTGCCACATTTAGCTGCTGCCCACTCTGGGTGCCAAGAGCCCAGGGCAACTCCACCCAGATTGGTCTGGAAAGGCAAGTAGGATTGTGAACCACAAGTTATGAATGGGATGCTGAACTTGGGCCAGTGGGATCCTTCATCCCCTCTGCCTCAGAAGGCTGATCTTGCAGAGATAAATTTGGGATACCCCTCTGTGCAAGTCAACTTGCCTTAATAGAACAGTCACAGTGGTACTTTGCTTGGGGGAAATAGCATTCAAAACTCAAACTCTGAAAATTCTTCCTTGGCTTTTCTGCAAATATATTTCAGGTATTGGCAGGGCTGGCATTTCTGAACTTTTCACTCAGAGCAGATGAATAGTTGCCCTACATTTTTATTCTATTACTGAATATTTAAAGTATTTTCCTAATTCTAGAGCTGATTGTAGGAAACTCTTCTAGTGGAAAGTCCTTATCTATGCACGTGACCATTTGTCCCAAGAGAATGGGAAACAACTTCTTTGCAAGAAATAGCTGTCGTTTGGGGGGAGGGTACAAGTGGGAAGACCACAGCACCCTAAGATTCTGCATTTCCCCACTGGTGAAGCCAACCAAGGAAAGGAACGCTGCCTCTCTGGATCACTTTCCTTGCCCACCAGCATAATAATAATAATAATAATAATAATAATAATAATAATAATAATAATAATAATAATAATAATTTTATTTCTATATCGCCCTTCTCCCGAAGGACTCAGGGTGGTGTACAGCCTATTTAAAAACACAGAACAAAACGACGATTAAAATTTAAAATCATTAAATAATTAGGCTCCAATTAAAATCCCAAAAATTTAAAATACCCCAATTTAAAATCGTTATGTTGATAGCCCGGCCTGGCGGAACAACAGGGTCTTCAGTGCGCAGCGAAACACCCGGAGATCGGAGATCTTACTTATTTCCGGGGGCAGTTCATTCCACAGGGCTGGGGCTCCCACAGAGAAGGCCCTCCCCCTGGGTGTCGCCAGCCGACATAACTTGGCCGATGGCACCCTGAGGAGACCCTCTCTGTGGGAGCGGACTGGTCGGTGGGAGGCTATTGGTGGCAGAAGTCGGTCTCGAAGGTACCCGGGTCCTATGCCATGGAGTGCTTTAAAGGTGGTAACCAACACCTTGAATCGCACCCGGAAGACCACTGGGAGCCAGTGCAGCTCGCGCAGGAGGGGTGTCACGTGGGCGCAATGAGTTGCACCCATAACTACCTGCGCGGCCGCATTCTGGACCAGTTGGAGCCTCCGAGTGCTCTTCAAGGGGAGCCCCATGTAGAGAGCATTACAATAGTCCAGCTGGGAGGTGACAAGGGCGTGAGTGACCGTGCGCAGGGCGTCCCGATCCAGAAAGGGCTGCAACTGGCAAATCAGGCGAACCTGATAAAAGGCCCCCCTGGCCACGGCCGTCATATGCTCTTCTAAAGACAGCCGTGCATCCAGGAGGACACCCAGATTGCGAGCCCTCTCTGTGGGGGGCAAAGATTCACCCCCAATAGTCAGCGATGGCACCTGCTGAGTGGATTTGCCATAAGCAAATCCCACAGGATCCTGACCACCACACGATAGTCCATGTGTGCCACAGCTGCAGTTTAGATTTTCCAGCAACCTGGTATGGCCAATTTCCCACTATGTAGCTGGGTTAGGGTTAGGGGGGCTTTCAGAGTAGGAAGGCTGAGGCAGGCCAGGCTCAAATGCATCTCTTCTGGAAATGTTCTGGATTACCGCCTCCCTCCCTCTGGTTGATGTCCTGCAAACACCCTGTTTCCGAGGTCTAAGTCTCAAGTCTTGCAAACAGTGTGTCTGTGCAGATTCCTATCCCCCCCCCCAGTGACCCACGAAAGGAAAAGAGATCAGAACCCATAGTTAGCTTTTGGAATTACACAGAAATAAAATCTGCAGGAGAAGCAATTTCCAAGGGCAGAAGTGGGGAAAGGTAACCTATGCACCTGGAAAGAAGAGAGGGCTGTGGTGTGAGGGGGAGGCCTTTGGAGAGCAGAGGAGAAACTCATTCAGCAACATGTGTTGCTTGGCGTGGGAATTATCGCACTGTAACTGCAATTCCCTAGGCCTTTTCACTGTGAGATGCATACAAAACTTCTGTCCATAACCTCATTAGTTTTAGGTCAGGACCCAAATTGAAAAGGGTCCAAATCCCCCTTGGATTAATTTGAAACCCTCCTTAACTTGGAATGAGTTTGAAGCTTCAGGCATATAGCTATGTCATGGATATAAGAGTCTTCAGTTTATGACTGACCTGAATGAAATGTTGCAAGGGGCTAAGATGGCCATTTTTCAGATGAACAGAATTAAGAGATTTTGTGCAGAAATAATGGGGCAGATTGTGAGCTTCAGAAAAGGAAGCCTTAATTTCCTGCTTTGCTCCCCTGGTGCAATATTTGTGACCCGAGGATCCCATCCAGATTGCTGCTGGCAAGGAGCCACAGATTGGCCCACCATAACCTCCCACAGCAAGAGAAAGCGCAAGGAAGACCCTCAGCTCTTGACTGCAGAGAGAGGATTCTGCTACCTCCTCTTTGCTCCAAGTTTGGGGTCTGCCCTGTGGCCACTTGCAAAAAAGGCAGGTGAAAGCACCCACTGTCCAAAGGCACAGAAGCGATGCCAGCAGGGCCAGAAGGAGCATTTTCTTACAGGAAGTCCAGTTGGCATCAGCTTCCTCCAGCAGACAACGGCAGGGAGGCAGGTGACTCAGGCACAAGTTGCAGACCTCACCAGAACAGGCTGAACCGGTTCAGGGCTGGTTGGCCCATCCCACCAGATCAGATTTCACTGAACAACCTCTCATCCCTGGGAATTTATCAGAAGGGCAGGCACCACTACCCCCACCTGGCTCTAGCCCAGGAAAATGCTTTCGTGTCCCCCCAACCCTGGCAGAAGACAAGAACCCCCATTTGGTCAGGACAACATGCCAGCAGGTGCCTAAAGCCCTGATGGGCACAAGAAAGGCCTGGCGAGAGGCTGCCATCTTCATATCTGGCAATGCCCACCCCTCTAGCAAAGCAGGACAAAGGCAGTCTGGCAAGTGGTCCAGACCCGGCTTCAAAGCCACATCCAGCCCAGGGGAACTACCAGGCTGATGCCCGTCTAGGTGGGAAGAAAGGAGGCCCTCCTCTCCCAGTCCCAGCAGCCAAAGGTGGCTGGGAAAGGAGTGGGGGTGGGGAGGGAGGGGAGACCAGGCTTCCGGATTTGGGACCCTTGACCAGCGGGGCAGGGAAAGGGGGGGCTAAAACGATCCGCAGCCGGCCGATCCTTTCGGGTGGGGCACGTCAAGACCAGCCTGCGCTGTAGAGACCTGACGGAGCGCCCAAGAGAGGCACAGGGCGTTGGCACTGGCCCGGATACAGCGCAGGAACCCGCCCAACGATCCGCAACCAAGCCTGGCCACCGTATTTGAAGCTACAAAGGGGCGGACGGAAGGCCTCTTCCTGAAGACCGTTCAGGGGAGCAGCACGGGGCGCGAATTCTTACCTGGGGGCGACTCTGCGGCCGCCAGAGCGGCCGCCAACGTGATCCACAGCGCCAGATTCTTCTCGCGCCTCATCGCACCGTCCTCCCGGACCAAGCTACCCGCTGGGCCGCAACGGCCACCGAACACCGCAGGTGGGCCACGCCCATCGCTCTCCGGGCGCCAATCACGGGGGCCGACGTCTATCGCTATCGCACCTGTCTGCCCACCTATTTTGCATAGGCTGCGCAGCAATCACGTGGTGGTGGTGATGGAGCGCCCCACCGGTTGCAAAGTAGGAAAGTCCCGGATGGAGAAACTTGCCAGGTGTAGTCAGGGCGGGGCTACGGTCTGGACTACTGCTCCTGATTTCTTCTCCCACTCGCGGGTGCCTAGTTCCGGGATGGCTTCTGTGGGAAGCCTCCTCCGCCGGCTTCCACCCTCCGACTTGCGAAGAGCGTGCTGAGCCCCTTCCCTTCGGCCCTTTCCCCCTCCCTCTTCAGCATTCCGGCCTACCTTTTGCCGAAGTTTCGCGCTCGGACAGCCGTTGTGTTGGGAGCGCGACGTGGTCAGGGAGGCTTTCTGAAGAAGTTGCACCTCTTGGGAAGGGCGGGGGGTCGTGGCCCTGAATGTACTTGCATAATGACAGAACGGGCCAGGCGGGGATGGGGTGGAGCTAGAAGGAAGAGGCCGCTGGGCGTCCCGCTGGGCCGATGAAGCCGCTCCAAAAAGCTCCGGCAGCTTTCTCTCTCAACCTGAGTCCGAGTCAAACGACCCGAATTGAGCAGCGTTGCTTGGCCTGCCCCTGCCCTGTCTGGCGGCAGCAACTCGAAGGGGCAAAGGCCGACTTTGCCCAGAGGTGGGACCAGAGCCCGGTGAGGAGATTCGAAGGTAAGCACTTGGCAGGCCGGCGCTAGAAGAGAAGGGCCGTGCTGGCCACACATTCAAAGGGCTTGGGGGTGGGGTGGGGGGGATGCCGGGCCCAAATCTCAGCAGCCGGCGTTATTTCAGAAACTTGGAAGGCTGGAGGAGGGGGAAGTGGCCAGGCGACCGCGCTTTGCTGGAAGGCCATTAGAGCAGCAGCAGCTCTGGAAAAGGGAGGCCCGCAAGAACGGTCGGGAGACCGGTTGGGCCCCGCCTCTGCCCCCAGACCAAGACGGCCCCCTACCCCGAGGGAGGGTCTGGGAGTCAGAGCTCCGCCCCGGCTGCTATAAGGCGCGGGAAGCCGGCGGACGCCCCGTCTAATTGGCGCAACGATCAATGGCGGCGGATCGGGTGGGGAGGCGCTTAGGGCGTGCGTCGCCGGCCCGCTCTCCCGGCCTCTCTCCCGGCGGCAGCCGCGCGGAAAGGACAGCCAGCCCGGGCATCCAGAGGCGCCAAGCGCGGGTCACGGTTAAGTATGACCGACGGGAATTGCAGCGGCGCCTTGACACGGAAACGTGGATCGACGGCCGGCTGGAGGAGCTGTACAGAGGACGGGTGAGGGAGACGCCGGGTTAAGCGAGAGAACTCGGGGGACCGCTGGCGGCCCGCCTGGGACAGAGCGACTCCTTTGTGGCCAAAGGCAGCTGCAGCCTTCCTCAGCTTCCTGGGAGGCCGCCTTCAATTCTGAACTGGTTCCTCGAAGCCACGATGGGGTTAACGTTAAGGCTGTTTGGGACCTCCCCTCCCTCCCTCCCTCCCAGCTGCTAGTGCTCCTCAGGGACTGGGGAGCCATCTGCCTTGTTGGGAGGCACATCTGCCTTTAAGGCTGCCAGGAGGCGCTTTAGTTGTAGCAGCAACTCTCCATCCTTTTGGTGAGTGGCGGCCTTGGTCTAGCCTTGCGTCCACCAGGGTGGTTGCTGGTTATTGCTTGCTGCTGGTTTTGCTGGGTGGGATTTTCAGGCTCAAGAGACTGAAGGTTGCTGGTGGTTCTGGACCAGGAGAGAGACTTGTGGCAACTGCCAAGAGGGGAAGCTGCACTCAGAAATACAATGGACTGGGGGCTGCAGGGTTGGGCCCTGCCTATCGCCCTTAGTCACCCCATTCAGCCGTCTTTCCGAGAACCATTGTTTAACGCATTGTAAGCCGCCCTGAGTCTCCGGAGAAGGGCGGCATATAAATCAAATAAAAAAACAAAACAAAACAAAACACCAGATATTTGAGCCCCAGCTTTTCCTGGAATCTGGAGAGCAATTCTGAAATTCCCTCCTCACTCAATACATGGGAAGAGCCCATCTGGCTGTGGAGCAGGCAAGACTGAGCAAGAGATGGGCTCCTATCGAATTCAGGCTGGAATGAGGGGAGCTGCATCCTCAGCTACCAGAGGGCTGCTATCTGCCCTGCTCCAAGATTCATTCTGGCCCCAGGGTACCTTGGCTTGGAAAGGAGGCCAACCTTCCGGGCTCACAGAAAAAGTGGCAGATGGGCTTGCAGAGAAGGGTCACCGGCCTCCTCCTCCTCCGCCGCCGCCTCTTCCTAGGGAGGAATGTGCATCCCCGCCTCCGGTTGCTGATATTTTCCTTGCCTAGAAAGGATTCTTCGAGGTGGGGGTGGGGAGCCTGGCCTAGCTATAAAAGAGACATCTCCAATCCTCCCATGAAAGGAGCGAGTTACCATCTGGGTTGCTTTTTTGCCTCCCCAGGGAATCTGGGAGGGGAGCAGCTCAGCTGGTAGGTTGATGCTCTGATCCAGAGGCTTCTTGGTGTGAGGGGCAGCAGTGCTGTGACTATCCTCTTCCTCCCCCCTGCATATTTACAGGGAGGTTGCAGAGAAAGGTTTTTGCACTGGAGGCTTTTAAGAAAACTGAACAGCCATTTGTCTGGAATGGTGTAGATAGGGTCTCCTGCTTGAGCAGGGGGTTGGACTAGAAGACCTCTGAGGTGCCTTCCAATTCTGTTATTCTGTTAAGGGGTACAGATGGAACCAGGCTCTCCCAACTGGATCAATTACTTATCGCGTGGTGGGCAAAATAGGCGCAATGGGTACTTATGCTCCCAGGAAAAGCAGCAACCACATCTCTGGGATAATGCGGGGGTGGTATGCTCTTCGTCTTGCCTAAAAAGGGGGATACAGGTGGGTCTGGGTTTTGAAAACTTTGAAAGCTTTGTCATTCTAGATTATTTTCAAACTATGAAATGCTTCACTGAAGAGCTGCACAAGTCAGAGAGCCTGGGCTATTGTCAAAAAGCTTTCCTCTTGTGAGACCTCATAACTCTTGTTCCTAACTCTTGTTCCAAGAGCCCCTTAGCCTGACCCTTTTTGATTTTGTGGCAGGAAGATGAGATGCCAGATGAAGTCAATATTGATGATCTCCTGGAGATGGACACAGATGAGGAGAGGGCCAAGAAATTACAGGTAAGCTGCTTTCACATTACCAGGTCTGCTGACTCAGAATCCTGAATCGGCACCCTTGACTGGGTCCTCTCAGCAGGAGCAGAAGGGAGGTGAAAATGTTGAGTTTATAAACCGGGCAGGGACAAAGCAGTTGCAGCATTAAAACAGAGCAAGCAGTGGAGTGAACAGGGGCTCTTATGCAGACAAAGAGCTCCACTCCTTGTTTTGAATTCTGAAGAAGTTGCTGCTCTAAGAGGTGAAGCTCTTTTTCACGATTAAATGAGCCTTAATGCCCATTAACAACATGCTGGTGCTAATTTCTGAGCACCAAGATTGAGGCATAGATTCATCTCGTCCTGCGCTATTTGCTAATAAGCATACCTAATGCGGAGTTAGCCTAGGCTGTGCCATTTTGTTAATAAATAGAAATTAGATCTGAACAGGAAGAAAAGGGAACCGGTGAAAGAGAAGGCTGTGAATTAGATCTGAGCCCAGGGAAGAGATTTTCCTGGTTTAGTTCAAGAGTAAAGCTGAAAAAGAGGCTGGAAATTAAAAGGGCTGGACAAATAAATGCTGGGCCGCCCATCCTTTGGGACTGTTCCTCACTGTAATTTTTTTCTAGGGCACCTTGGAGTCATGCCACAACAACACGGAGGTGGGTGTCCACTTTGAGCAATCACTGGCTTTGGGTCCTGTGGAACGTGCATGTCCGCCAAGTGGGGGGGGGTTTGGCTTTCCCAAAGAGATGCCGCACTTCCAGCTGCTGTGGAATAGTTGAGGAAAGGCATCCTTTCACTCTTTGGGCTCCCTGGCCTCCTTCCTACCCATGACTCCCTGAGGAGCTCCCTTGCAATTCCTGGGGATCTGGTTGCTCTTGATCCTGGGAGTCCCTATTGGAGGGAGATCCCTTTCTTGGGGGGTGGTTATTATTATTATTGTTATTATTATTGTTATTATTATTATTATTATTATTATTATTATTTAGACTTCTATACCGCTTCATAGTGCTTTACAGCCCTCTCTAAGTGGTTTACAAAGTTTACAAAGTTAGCATATAGCATATATGGTTCCCCCAGTGTCAGACATCTTCTCCACCTTACTGGAGAAGAATGGTGGGACTCAACTTCCTCCCCACCCCCACCCCCAGGACTTCACCAGAGAGCTGCTGGAGAAGCTGAGAGGTCTCAGAACAGAACATGTTCTCCGCCGGACAAGTCCCAGCAGCCAGAGGAGCATGGACCAGGGGCCCAAAGTCCCACAGTGACTGTGATGCTGGAGAGCTGCAGAGACGGCTGAGCTGCTGGAAGAACTTGCTGCTGTCTCCCTGTCTCCAGTAGGATGGACTGGCTCCATGGCTTCAACCACCTCCACCCTGCCGGGAAGGTCTCCTGGGCCCTTTTGAACTTCTCTCTCTTGATGGATGACAGGCTCTGCTGGGCTGCCTCCCCACAATAAAGTGCTCTGTCTCCCAGAAGCTCAACTGTTGCCTCTGCCAGAGCAGGGTGGGGGAGACGGGACCTTATGTTGACTGGGACCCTTGTGAGAGAGAACCTGGCAGGATAGAGTTTGCCCCCTGTAAAGTGCTCTGGACTTTTCTGGCCATCACCCAGAAGCTGCGCCTGTGTTTGCACACTCTTGGCTAGATTTTTTCTGGCTGGGCATGTTTGGCACAGTCTGCCTGATTATCCAGGGCCATGAAAACTCAGAAACGGGTTCCTTGCCCAATCCATCCTTCAGCAGCCCCCCCTGTAGCCGGTGAGGTGAGGTGAAGGCAGCAGGCTTTACTAAAGTCTCACAGCTGTGACTCCAGGTGGGTCTATGACAATTTGCCACGGCCAACTTGCCATGGCCAATTAACTGTGGGACAACTTGCTCCGGGACAAGAGTTATACTAATATCAAAGAAATAGTGGAATAGAATAATTAAAGGATGCAAAAGGAGGGACAGAATGAAACGCGAATTGCAAAAATTAAAGTATTTTTTTATTTATTTTAAATAACGAAATAGAATAAATTGTCCTGCAGCAAGTTATCCCATGGTGAGTTGGTCACAGCAAATTGGCCGTGGTGAGTTGTCCGTGGAATAGTTGCCCCATTCCGACCCCAGCCAGCCTTTCCATGTTTCAGGCAACCCCCTCAGTCAGATAGAGGCACTGAGTCCTGTTTCCCCCCTCCCCACACTCAGCTGGGACCCAGAGTGGGTTTTCCGGGTTAGAAGCTGCTTCAGGAGTCCAACAGCACTTTGTGCTTCCTTCTTGCCGGGGTGGAGATCTGCGTGGTCCACCAGGAAGTCAGGGGTCCCACATGTTCAGCCCACCTGCCGGCAACTGGGCCTGCGGCAGCCCTCTCAATCCAGGCCGTCCTTGTAGCTTCTGGATCCCCCAGCATTATCTGGCTATCGAAGGCCTTCTCCCAGGCCCCACAGATGTCTGTGTGCATATGGCTTCCCATGTGCCTCCCCCACTTCCCATTACTGTCTCTGCAAGTCAATGTGTGCCAGCTACTGCCTGCCTCAGTCCAACCCAGAGTGGCAGGGGGAGGGAGGGAGATCCTTTCCCCAGGGAGGGAGGGAAGATGCTTGCAAAGGGAAGCTGGGCCAGGCCCTCCCTCCCTCCCATGGCTGGTCCAGCAGACACTGGAGCCTCTGAAGCTTGTGCCCTTATTTGGGAACAGGCAGAGGCTGGAGAGGGGAGGGACTTGCTGTCCAGCTCAGCTGGGCCCTTTTGTCCTCCCTTGGCCTAGATGCCCACAGCCTGCCCTCCCGCCCCAAGAAAGGGCTTTTTCTCCAGAGGGGGTTGGCATGAGGGGGAGTGCTGGACAAGGGCAGGAGGAGAGCTCAGTCGGCATTGGGGGCTCCTTTTTTATGGGCTGCTCTGGCAAATGACTTTTATCTCAATTCTTCCTCCTCCTCTTCAAAAAAATTCTTATTGAAAATTTAAAAGAGAAATGACCCCCAAGCCCCCATAGTATACAAAATGTGTAAAAAAACAGTAATATTCAACAATTATGAAATAGTATTAACAAAAGGAGGGAAACGGCCTTTTCAAAAATAGATAAGTCACACTTCCTGAATACAATCTTTGCTACTGACCACTTTTCCAATCTCTCAATATAATTCTCTTGGTTATTCTGCACAACAAATAAACCTCTCAGAAACACCCCTGTGATCAAGTTCCACAGTTTTGTAATATAGTTCAAAATAACATTGACAAATGTAACTTGAAAACTTTTACATCCATCTACTTAATGTATGTTAAAATATTATTCCAAAAAGAAACTCAAATTAGATAGTTCCTTGGCACAAAACATCAAAACTTTAATCCCAATCTGTATATAATGTTAATTGTATAATGTGCAATCCCAAAGTTAACATTGAATTAACTCACTTCATCGTCTTTTACACTTTATTGTTTTATAGTGAGGTGAATTGTTTAGTGTCCGAATACAATGGGATTAAGTTTCTGTGTATGTATAAATGCATTTGGGTCAAACATAATTGTTTAGTTTTGCAGATGTTATGTTTTATTGTTATGTGCTGTTTGCCACCCAGAGTTGCTGTAGTGAGAAGGGCAGCTGTACATGAATCAAATAAATAAACAGGAGTGGCTTGAGCAAGTTCAACATACTCAGGGAAGGCTAGATTTAGTTTGTTCCCCAGATCAGTCTTGAGCCAAAATAGAACGAAGCCCCAAATCACCAACTGCAGCCTTGGGCGTCTGGGCTGTTGCCATTCTCCTGTGCTTTGAAAGGCTCTTGATACTCATTACCTCTCAGTCCAGACCCCCAGTTTGGTGACTTCTCTGGCACTGGGGGGGAAGGGCGGCACTATGACTGCAAATTAAAAGCTCGTGCTCTGGCCCTGCAAAACCTGCCTGGCCCAGCCCTGGACCTTGTGGCATTCCTGTCGTGGCAGAGGCTTAACGGAAAGGGCTGTGCTGATTCTCATGCCCCTGTGGTCAGGAGAGGTCACCATCCATCTTCTGGCTTGCCAGGTCCTTGCTTTCCCTTTCCTATTAGATCCCAAACCCCAAAACAGGCTCCCTGCCTGCTGAAGAAAGAGCCTTTCCACTTCCAGAGGATCGCTTGCTCCCCAGGCTGTCCCTGGATTCATCTGCAAAAGCTGAGCCTCTGGAGAGTAAAACCACCTTTGCTCACTTCCAGATTCAGGAGCAATGCACAACCAGTGACCGTGGCCTTGTCACATTAGGGTTATTGGCAGTCCATAGACAGCAGGGAGGCATCACAGTTCCAAAGGGATCTCTTGCCAAAACTGATTTCAGATTGATGCCCCAATTAACCTTCGGGATCTGCTTCTCTGAGTTACAGCCATGACCACCAGCTGAAACTTCCCCTGGCCTACACAATGCAGCACGCCTTTCCCCTGCTTCAGAGGCAAACAGCTGGTTTGCTTGGGAAGACCCTTCTGCCGGGTGGGGGCCTCGCGCCTGCTTAGGCCCTGGCAACTGGGGCAACTGGGGCTATGAGCTGCTTCAGCATAGGAATTGCTGAGATGATGATTTTCTTGGGGCCTGCCTTGCTTTGCACCATAAGCTGAGCTTTGGTGCAAATGGCTTTGCAGAATCCGCTGATCTAAATCAGCTATAATGCTAATCGGGCAGCTGCCGGTTCTCTAACTGACCTGGCTATCTCTGCTGCGAAAGAAGGGCCTGCTGATGCCACCGGAAAGTGACGTTGACCCAGGACCTTGGGATGGCCCTGATCTTTCCTCATTCCAACCTCTGTGGCTTTGGAGAGCAAATGGGCACTGTGCCTGAGCACCTCTCTTCTACCCCACCTGCTGCAGGGGCCAAGGCCCAGAGTGCCTGAGAGGACCTTCCAATGATACCTGTGATGTCCCCAGGAGTCCTGCTTGCCTTCTGTTGCTCTCCAGCCCCCTCCCTTTTTTGCCTGAGCAGAAAGAAAAGAGCTGCCGAGGAGAACCAGGGCCGAGAAAGGGGAAGCCTTGCTCCGCTAACCCTCTGGGGTTGTGGAAGTTATCCCTGGCTGCTCTCAGTTCTGGATGGCTTGTTGTTGTTAGTTGCGAAGTCGTGTCCGACCCATTGTGACCCCATGGACAACGTTCCTCCAGGTTTTCCTGTCCTCTACCATCCTCTGGAGTCCATTTAAGCTCACACCTACTGCTTCAGTGACTCCATCCAGCCATCTCATTCTCTGCCGTCTCTTTCTTCTTTTGCCCTCAATCATTCCCAGCATTAGACTCTTCTCCAGTGAGTCCCTCCTTCTCATTAGGTGGCCAAAGTATTTCAGTTTCATCTTCAGGACCTGGCCTTCTAAACAGATGTCAGGGTTGATCTCCTCTAGGACTGACCAGTTGGATCGCCTTGCAGTCCAAGGGACTCACAGGAGTCTTCTCCAGCACTGTAGTTCAAAGGCCTCAATTCTTTGGCACTCAGCCTTTCTTATGGTCCAACTTTCACAGCCAGACATTGCAACTGGGAAAACCATAGCCTTGACTATATGCACTTTTGTTGGCAGGGTAATGTCTCTGCTTTTTAGTATGCTGTCTAGATTTGCCATGGCTTTCCTCCCCAGGAGCAAGCGTCTTTTAATTTCTTGGCTGCAGTCCCCATCTGCTGTGATCTTGGAGCCCAGGAAAATAAAATCTGTCACTACCGCCATTTCTTCTCCATTTATTTGCCAGGAATTGAGAGGGCCGGATGCCATGATCTTAGTTTTCATAATGTTGAGTTTCAAGCCAACTTTTGCAATCTCCTTCTTCACCCGCATCAAGAGGCTCTTTAGTTCCTCTTCACTTTCTGCCGTTAGAGTGGTATTATCTGCATATCTGAGGTTGTTGATATTTCTCCCTGCAATCTTAATTCCAACTTTTGATTCATCTAGCCCCACCTTCCTTATGATGAGCTCTGCATATAATTTAAATAGGCAGGGTGACAGTATACAGCCTTGCCAGACTCCTTTCCCAATTTTGAACCAATCGGTGGTTCTTTCTCAACAGTCGAGTTCTCACTGTTGCTTCTTGACCCGCAGATAGGTTTCTCAAGAGACAAATAAGATGGTCTGGTTCTCCCATCTCTTTAAGAACTTGCCACAATTTGTTGTGATCCACACAATCAAAGACTTTAGCATAGTTAATGAAGCAGATGTTTTTCTGGAACTCCTAGCTTTCTCCATGATCCAGCATATGTTGGCAATTTGATCTCTAGTTCCTCTGCCTCTTTGAAATCCTGCCTGTACTTCTGGTAGTTCTCGATCCACATACTGCTGGAGCCTAGTTTGTCGGATTTTAAGCATAACTTTATTAGCATGTGAAATGAGTGCAATGGTGCAATAGTTTGAACATTCTTTGGCATTGCCTTTCTTTGGAATTGGAATGTAAACTGACCTTTTCCAATTCTGTGGCCACTGTTTTGTTTTTTTTTTTGAAAAAAAGTTTTATTTTAGATTAAAAATAAAATTAAAAAAACCAAAAAAAAAACACAACAATAACATAAAAATATCATCCTTACAAACGATCATAGACAGCATCTCAATCGGTTAAAATCATTTCGTGCTTACAATTCTCCAAATCTCCTCATATAACAATTATTCTTTACTTAAACTAAAAATACATATTTAAACATTTCATATATGCTATCTCATCTCCATACTTTTTATCAAACCATTGATAAAATATCTCCCATATCAAATAGTATTGTTTATCTTCCTGTTCTCTTATTTCAAATGTCAATCTACTCATTTCAGCACAGTCCAACATTTTCATAATAATTTCTTCATCGGTAATTATCTTCTCTCCTTTCCAGTTTTTGGCAAATACAATTCTGGCCGCTGTTAAAATGTTCACAATTAAGTATTGTAGTTCTTTATTAAATGTCTCTGGTAAGATTCCTAATAAAAATATTTCTGGTTTAAAGTCAATATGTCTCTTTGTCATTTTTTCTAACCACGTATGTATTTTAGTCCAAAATCTCCTTGCTTCCATGCATGTCCACCACATATGGTAATATGATCCTGGAGTTTGATGACACTTCCAACATTTCTCCGATTTATTCTTAAACATCCTGGCTATTCTCGTCGGGGGTAGATGCCACCTGTAAAACATCTTATACAAATTCTCTTTATATGCTGTTGACATTGTCATTTTATAATTATGTGACCACAATTTTTGCCATTTCTCTAAATCAATACTATAACCAAAGTTTTTTCCCCATGCTATCATTGATTCTTTAACTTGTTCTTCTTCCAGTTTTGCTTCAAGTAAATATCCATATAGCTTTTTAATTATATGGTCATCTGAACCCATTAATATCTTGTCTAAACCAGTCGAAATACTATAAATACCTTCTTGTTTAAAATCTTCTTGATATCTGGAAAGTATTTGCGTGTATGAAAACCAATCTATCTTAATTCCCTGATCTTCTAAATTTTGTTTCAATTTAAGTTCACCCTTTTCATCCAATAATTCATTATATCTAACCATTTGTTCCCCTTCAAATACCACTGGATAAGAAAAAGCTTCAATTGTGGATACCCAGACTGGAATCTTCAGATAATGGTACTTTTTGATCTTTTCCCGTGTCAAAAACAAAGCTTCACGTATCTGGTGCCTTCTAAAATACCCCTGAATTTTAGTTCCTTTATACCATAAGAAAGCATGCCATCCCATCAGCAAATCATGTCCCTCCAAATTTAATAATCTAGTATTTTTCAATATCACCCATTCTTTAATCCACATTAAACAAACCGCTTGATAGTATAATTCAAAATCCGGTAATCCAAAACCACCCCTCATCTTAGCATCTTGTAACAGTTTAAGTTTTATCCTTGCCTTCTTTCCCTGCCAAACATATTTCAAAACCATTTTATTTAAATCTGTAAAAAATTCCTTACCCAGCTTTACAGGAATTGTCTGAAAAAGATACAAAATTCTAGGTAAAATATTCATCTTAATAGTTGCAATTCTACCAATCAAAGATAACTGCAAGTTTCCCCATTTCCCCAAATCCTGTCCTATCTGTTGCTTAAGCTTATTATAATTATTTTCTTTAAGAGAACTACATCTTGCTGTTAATTGAATCCCCAAGTATTTTACCTTATTTGTGACCTGCATTTTAGAGATCTCCATCAGTTCTTCTTTTTGTTTTTTTAACATATTTTTAGTCATTATCTTCGTCTTCTCTTTATTAATTTTCAAACCAGCAACCTCCCCAAATTCGCCTATTTTTTCTATCAATTTATTTATTGATATTAGTGGTTCTTCAATAATAAAAACCAGGTCATCAGCAAAGGCTTGTAATTTATATTCTTCCTTTCTAATTTTCATTCCCTTTATCTCTTTTTCTTCTCTAACCTTTCTATTCAACATTTCCAACGTCAATATAAATAACAATGGGGATAAGGGACATCCTTGTTGAGTACCTTTTTCTATTTCAATAGCATCGGTCAATTCTCCATTAATCATTACCTTTGCTGTCTGTTTCGTATATATAGCTTCAATTGCCTGAATAAATTTCCTTTCAAAGCCCATCTCTTCCATTTGTAACATCATAAATCGCCAGTTCACATTATCAAATGCTTTTTGTGCATCTAAAAATACCAAAGCCATTTGTTTTTCAGGGTGCGCTTCATAATATTCTAGAGTATTCA